CGACATTTTGCGGCTGTACTTGATCCATCTTTAACGAGCAGTGATATATTATCGCTAAAAGAATTTTGCGATTGTTTAATATATTTTGGACAGTGGGCCCGTGTCCAGTCCGTTATTTCATAGGATGCAAGAAGGATGCTCTTTACATATCTCCTTTTCCATATTCGGAAAAAAGCTTCTCTGCGCATTCTTTTAGCTCCACATTCTTTTGATTATAGGGCACTTCCCGGTGCAGCCTACATACCATGGAGTTTTTGTATTTTTCCCACTATAGTCTTGAGAACGCGACTTAAATAAAACGACATACGGACCCTAAGACCTAATATTCACACATGACTTCTTCCTCATTTAGTAATCCTTACTTAGTATTCCGAGCAAATCGAAACCCAACTAAAACTTGATTAAGACGATTGGATTTTGGAAATGTTCATTCTTTGACATCGTGCATTAGAAGGTGAATAAGCCAAAAAGGATTGCACATTAATAACCCAGAATCTCCTGGACGCCGGCTAGTCCCGCGTATTCCAATCCCGCTAACGGTATATAAAGTCTAAAGTCGGTGGAGCAGGCTTTGATATCGAATGCGGAAACGGAATTTCAACGTCTAAGTATGTCTGTGGTGTTTTACTTGCAAAAATGGACAGATGCTTTCGCTTATAGAACCCTCAATACGTCCAATAGAAATATGTCTCCGGAAACACGCAACAGTTCACAATTATTCAGAGAGTGACCAGGCCTAACTTTAAGCTCTACTCCTTGCTCCCTAATGCGGAAGCGATTGTGAGGATTAAGTGTCAACGAAAGAGTCATTTGGGTTTCCACCACAGTCCTCCGCAGAGAGGTAGAAAAAGAACGATGCAGCTACAAGATAAGGGGCCTCAACTGTGAGCGGCCTTAAAGCTGAGTCGTTCAACGCAAAATCAAATGTAACTTTCAATAATGATATTCGACATCCAGTGGTCACAATATGTCTATGATCTGTGGAACGAGCCCACTCTAGGAGGTTTAAGAACCTCGAGGTAGGGGTGATTCAATCGCATCGCTATCAATAAGAACATTACGGCAGTCTAGATATGAACAAAGATTACTAAGTCTCAAGATGTGCCGGTGGCCTCCTGTTTCCATAATGGCTAGAAAGTCCCTAGCAAGATTAATTATAAAACTTTCCATCGCGAGCTAGTCAATTTGCCAATTCCTCTCATAGGGTCCAATCCAGTGTGGCATCGGTATGGTTTAAACCTATATAAAGGTACTATACTTTGTATTCAATAAATCACGGAATTAGGCCTGGTTTCTATAAAGATGCTGCGCCTGGTGAATTCCACTCAGGCATTGGGGCTCCTGTAGACCATTTCTGCAATGCCGCAACGCAAAGAAAGGTACTGAGTCGGATTGGTGCAAGTCAAATTTATTCATTCTGCGACAAAGCAAAGTGAAAGAATCACCTGTATCCACCAATTACTTAAAGAGGAAATTCTACTTCTAAAATTTCTTAAATATTATATTCAGTTGTCTGTAGAATTGCAAACAGATGTCTCAGCAGCTAGCTCAAAGTAGGCCTACGTATTACAGGAATCCTCTTAGTCGCCTGGCTCCAACAGGGATGACATCATTAAAATGAAATTTGTCTCAGGGGAATTCACCATTGGACTACCATCCCTGCTGTGTCAAACAGTTCCTCAACGTAATTGTATCAAGCAGTGATTCTGGAATAACGGATTTAGAGCAGTTCCTCAGTTACAAATTCTCGCGCATTCAGGCAGGACGTGCGATTTAGTGTGACATTCCTTTGTCTGCATTCTTTATCGAATCGGTATGGTTAGCACCATCATCAATAAAGCTGTGGTCCGGGGCTGCACAGCTAATGTGTCGATCGCTATTGTTCCCGCCACGCGTACCTCCAAAAATCTCATTTGATAATCCTCCAGACATGATGATTCACTCAAAAGCGAATTGGTTAGTTTGGAAATTTTGATTAACTAGTTTCGACATCAAATGTGGCCGTGAGATTCATCATTGTAAACAATAAAAACAAATGCTATGTTCCTTCCCTGTCTCACTAGAATTACTAACTCACCTTGCTGTCAAGTCAATGCGGCGCTATGAGAGAAGGATCGCCAAGGTGTGACCTGTGGGCGAAACGATTGATACAGTATCCGGCTAGGGTTCGAAATAGTTAATTATCGATGCAAGCAGTGGCTGAAAGCCAAGACCCCGCTGTTTATCGGCACGAATTCCCGTTGGCTGGCAGGGAAATCGTCAAATGACAACCATGTGGCGTCTGCAAACAGCCGATCAATCGATGGCCAATTAATTGGTCCACAGTTGCTTATCAAACCATCGCCATTGATTAAATCACTCACCCACACTAACAAACACCCCTGCTGAACCAACCACTACCCAAAGTAGGATCTGCATTTGGTTGCACGACCAGCGCCGTTGCTTTGAAGCATTGCAGTAAGCTTCATAATACTGATGCGATTCGATACATCAATTTATTGAATCTCTGGTATAAACTTAATTATATTGGCAAAGAAGTCACAATCGTTGAGTGATTTTGTCCGCGGGCGCCCTGTTTAAAAATCACGCATAACATGGTCGTATAATAGTCGACCCATGCATATTTATCTAGGGCTCACGTCCCTTACATGTGTTGGCAAAAAGGGAATTATTCAATAGGAAACCTGGCAGCGGCGTCATAACTAACCCTTCTATTTCGATTTCTCGTATACTGAACCATTCCAAACCGGCGCTTCTGCCGCAGTTACAGCTATCCCTGATGACAGAAAATTCCTTGTTGGGTAAGTATCCGAATCCCATTTCTACTTACTACATTCTTGTGGTCTCAGGGAGTGTACTTGCTGAAATACTTTTCCCGATGATTATTAGTAAATGCAATATGGAACATCCCTCGCGGTAAAGAGGATTTTCGCAGAAGTAGAAAGTTCCCAACACGGCAAGGTAATATACGCAAACAAACCGACTATAGTATAAAAGTAAACAGCTCCACTTGCTGATTTTTATCGATCATAAGCGTATATACACAAGCGGTATTCAACGCTACATACAGTGGCCTCTTGGTGATGGTGATAGTTTCATATTGAACTTCAGAAGCCATTCTTCTTAAAAAGGTCGTCTACAGAGAAACGCAAATCGCATGCGCTCCAAATTCCTAGGGTTATGAATACACAATAGAAGTTCAGAAATGATAGTTTGAGTTTCTAGAGTACGGAAGTCGAGCTGTTCTCTTTGTCCGCTCGGGACGACTTTGTAGCCCGGATGTATGTTTGGAATTTAGGCCCTCCAAGGGCCGCGGGAGGAGGAACTGACCATCTAAGCTGATTTCATACCATCCTATGGCTTATCTTCAGCCTTTGGTGTATACTCATCTCCGAAGTGGCTTTGGTAGAACAAAATATTAAGCATTTGACTTGGAACTAGCTATACAGGATATTATCGTAGGTATACTCACGAGGGTAGCCATTTAATCTCGAAAGATCGATCTTAGAAAAGCCAAAATAAAACGAGAAGACAAGATTGCTGATGGTGTGGCGGTCTTCAGGATGTAGGATTATTGAATACAGTGAAGTGCACGGAACTTCTGTACCTTCGGTATCGCGCAAAGATGGTTCCATTCTGCTTAAGTCCAACGGATGGAATGCTTTTTTGCAGGCATCTAAGACTCGGCTTCCAGGAGCGGGCATGGTTTGTGAATGTTTTTTAGAATAAAGTTCAAAGACTGTTGAGGGCAATTTAAAGTGCCGGCCGTTGGTGGCTATAATTTTCATCCAATTACTTGCCGTCATTGCCGCTCCTCCCATTGCACGAAGATAAAGTGGCAGATTTGAATGCCTTCGCATGACATACTTCCTATTTCCAGCTAATAATTCAGGATTGACTCGTGACCTAATACTGCAATCCATCAATTGAGCGCTCGAAGCAGTAGCCACTTTTAGCGAGGGGGATGTGCTTATCTGAATATGTGTTTGAATTCATCCCCATATTGGATATTGGGTACGACCTCTGATAAAGCCAACAGGAAGCGAACTGATTGGCCGGCATACCTGCCGCTGTATTCACTTCCTAGATGGAAAGATGCCGTAGAGAATGAACCCATGTCATAGATACTGCGAAGGAGCCAGGTCTACAAATCAGGGGATCTGAATGTTAGATTGAGGATCAGAACAGATGCGAGTAGTCATCAAGTAATTTCGCACATCTTTTTTTCTAGTATTGTAGGTTGCGCTCTCTTAGGCTTTCAAGGAGACACCTTCTTGCGATATTCGAGTCAGTTATGACTCGAAAGACATATATGAGGTACTCCAAAGATATTGATTCGTAAGTCAATAGTTGACTGTATCCGGATCTATGCTATTTCCGGCTATCCTCTACATAAAAAAAAGGTACTCTCCTGATAGGGTCAGTTGCCAGAACCAGGTTTATTTGACGTTCTGTAGTATTCTTATCTTAAGGTAGGCTTAATGCTAGCGATAACCGTCACATGGTATCATTGAAGGCAGAACGGGTACTTCCCTCACCTCTTTAAACCGGGCGCTACCTTTGTACCAGGTCTAATCTATGAAATCCCCCCCCCAATATAGTTGCCGTTATGGAGGTATGATGATCTTCCGCAGAATCCTGATCTGCTTTTTTGCGTTCTTATTATTATCTACTTAATGCGTATGTACTTGAGGGAACCCCTTCCTTCAGAGTCTTGGGTGACTTCCGGAGGAGCACAGCACCGAAAAATCCCACATTCCAGCCATTATGATTTTATTGCAACGGCAGTAAAAGGAGTTCTCTCATTCTGCATACCACACTGATTTGTGAAAGTAAACATACATATACTACAGTGGGGCATGAAGAGTTGATCAACGCGACCGGGATCGACTGCAATGATTGCGAGAACCAGTTGAAGAGATTGTGACAGCCTGTCTGGTTCTTTCCTGTTTCACCTATCAGTGGTGGCTACGGGCTATTGGATTTTCTAAATGTTTACCATGAGTGTTACGTCCCAAACAAGAGTCGCTGACACTACTGCTCGGGACGCGTATGCAACACCGTTGAGCGCCGCCGATGATGGTCTCTATCATCCAGCACAATATGTGCATGGAGCGGATAATCTTTACCAGGATTCGCAAACCAATCGAGGCCCTACCACCTTACAGGGAGTGCGGTCGGTTGCAAACGAAATAGTGACAAATATGCTACCGTCACCGGTGTGGCATACTACAACTAGGCTCAGTGAGATTAGAAATCAGGTCTCTCCAGAGAAGCAAGCCATGGCGACAGATATTTTTCGGAGTTCGTCAATTGCTTCACCAAGTGGAACCAAATCAGCAACCACGTTCCACTTTCCAGTCACGTCTACAACATCAGTGGCGAACAATCTACCGCAACGGAAAGAACCAGCACCCAAGGAATCTCGCGTTTACCATTTGTTGATTATTTTTCTTGTTGCGTCTCTCATAATACTCATGATTGTGGCTTGGTTCAAGCGACACGCTGATCGAAAGAAACCTATACTTGCAACAAACCAGCAGCCGACCGTTGACCCGACCCTCCCGAAGGAACGCTTTGCGGCAGCTCTCTCTCAATCCAAAGCTCTTGTGACGGGGTTCCTGGCAATGAGCGCTGAAGCAATAAGTGTAGTCCTAGCTTCTTTTTCCTCGGCGAAATCCAAAGCTAAAATTGATCTTAAAGATGGTACCACAACGTTTACGACAAGGCGCTCATTGATGGGGAGGTTTCTTGAACAAAGGATCCGAATCATTATACGTGCGGTCGTGAAAATTTCAAATTTTCGACGCTGGATTCCTAATTTACCGGGGCGAGAGAGGGCTAATGATCAAGCCTTCGTTGAGAAGGACGAGGACATGACAGTAAGGTCATCATCCCTCGAAGAGGGTTCCAGAGGCCCGCCACGTGATAGTGCCGACGAACAGAGTCATTTGGATACAAGCTACAGAGTCACGACGAAAATTCGACCTCCACCGCCAGTGATAATAATCGGGCGAACTCGCCACAGAAGTGAAAGTGGATTGAAAGTTGAGGTACCTCGCGGGCCAGTCTCACCAGATACAGTCTGCTTAGAGGATGTCTGTGCAGCAAACGAGAGTTCCGATACGTTGAGAGGATCAGAGACCATATCCCTGCAAACGATCGACGAGTGTCATGGGCTCGGCCAGTCGCCGAGTGTGGGACTACTCAGATTGAATGTATACCGGGTCGAGATGGAGTTCGTCCCCCGCCGAGACACCCAGCTAGGGGTGAGCCAGGGGGATGAGGTTGTCATGACTCGTGTTTTTGACGACGGTTGGGTGAGTTGGCCGTGGAGCTCGTATTTGAGCAAGGATCAAGCTGATCGACCTCTGCAGGCATTTTGCGAACTTTTACGCACGAAGAAACAGGGGCTTGTGCCCCGTGCGTGTCTCTCCGTGTGGCCCGCTCGGCGCAACAATACGCCACCGAGCGTGACAAGTGTGCAGCTAGTCCCTCCAACGGCAAATAGTCACACAAACTCGCGACCTACTTCACCTATCTCGCCTATCTCACCAATTTCACCAAATTCCGCGGTGTTCCCTCGATTTTACAGCTCTGGCTCCTCGACTGAAAGCCTGTCTTAGAGCATGTCTAAGGTTCCAAGTGCAAATCTGAACACGTGCATTCGGAGACAGAGTTCGCAAAAATACTGGATTGCGGGATCCATTGGATTGCGATCAAGGGCTGTGAGCGTTATGATTACTTCTTGTGTAAATATGGATCAGTGTGTAAGCTGAGTTATAGCGTGAAGAAAACACTCCATTTGGAGGCATTTCTCGAAAAAGTTTGTTCACATAACCCTAGTTAATCTGAGGCCGGGACTATTCCATCAACAAGTACGGATAAGTATCCACCATTTATATTATTCAATATCTCTCATTCTTTCCCTACGTATCCGTCTTATATACTCACAATCTACGTAATTATGAGCATAATATCAATAAAACTTCACTAAAATATTTGTTTTAGATGAAAGTTGAACGGTCCTTATTCTCAACCTTAATTCTCTGGTTTATATGGATACAGCGCACCTTATGTGGTGTGCAGCGTAGAAAGTACCACCTATTGTAGAGAAATCCCTGGTAGGGTACTGTAAATTTTGGTATGATCCTTGATTTTTACCCCTCTTCTTGGCGAAAAACAAATTTTCAAGCGTTTCCCCTTTGGTACAGTATATCAATACAGGTCCAAAAATTCGTAAAGTCCGAGGCGAGTTGCTCTATGATCACTCAATTATGTAGGCGCAAAATCTAAGACTAGCTGAGAAATCTTCCTTTAGCAGAATTACATATCACCATCCCCTCTACGATCATAAAAGTAAACCCAAGAAAGAATCCTGTCTCTTTTGCAACTACAGTTGATCTTGAATTTGTAGAAAAAGGTTTCGTTAATTGATATTGGAGATCCTCCTACTATAGATGCTTAATGTTTGATGTCGCTGAACTTTGTAAGCTCGGCAAATTCGAAATTAAACCCTGTTGAGGGTTATAGCAACTACATCAGACCAAAAGGTTATCAAGAAATGGCTGTCAAAGTGTTTAAATTGTGGAAAATTTGGCCAAACAACTTGCTCACGCAGGTATAACAGGAACTTGCATGATATAAAACAATCAGATAAGGAAAGAGATAAATTACAAAAGCGGAAGCTCATGAAGTAGTTGATAGGACGTAGTTGGTAAGTAATGCAGATGTTGGGTCAATGTACGGTAAAGATTCTTGGCAGAATTGAATCACTAGTAAATTAACTTTGTTAAGTTAATTAGTTAGTTAACCTAATGTGATACAGATATTACATAATTGCTGTGCGGCTAGCAAAAAGCTGCTGTTTCCGTAGCAATTCCGTTCGGCAAGCAAAACGCATGGGGTCTTCGGCAATTCTGTGCTGACATAAGCCATCATCCATCGGTAGCAAAGCCTAATGGTCGGAAGGCAGAACATGGAGTACCAGTAGCGTTACATTTCTTACAACACGACCATCTACAGCCAAGTCTAAATCGAATACCGCCTTAGGGCAAAAGCTAATTATCTCTGCCCCTAGCCGGTAGCGCACATTGGCGAAGATCTTGCCCTGATTGCGAAGCTCTCCTAAGTTTCCCATGTCTTCAACTTTACCCATTCCTCCCAGTATCATTGACCGTGGGGAATCTCGTAAATAACGGGAAATATCCACCACCGCGACTGACATGCCAACGTACGGATAGTATCAAACTAGTTTGGCTATTTAGACCTTTACTAATCTTTGCATTACGTCGGCGTTATGAGTCAGACGAAAATCTAGCTGCATACTCATGCGTTTTTGCCTTCCTTTTCCAGCTCTAGCGGCTTGTATCTCTGATGAACTTGATAAAGGCTCCATCCAAGGAGTTTCTAGATTTGGCCGGTTCATATTGCCGATGTTTTGAAGACCCCTTACATGATAAGTATCAATCAAAAGCCGGGCTTTTCTTGACTTTCCATTAATGACAAAGTATTTAGCCTGTGTCTCTCAAACCGGGGAATTCCATTATGATATTTGCTCACTGCCTATTGTTTGGAGAGTCCCGCATAAGAGTTGGAACCTGAAATGTGTTTCCTCTCATTCCATTGGGCGAATGAAGTCACATGAATGTCTAATAAAATACATCAAGTAGGTCGTCTGCTAGCCACGGTCGACGGCCGTCATGTGTTGTTTTTGGCATGCATCCTTTGCCTGCTTTCTGGGTGTATATCTTTGGCTATCTAAATATTTCCATGTCAGAATCTTTGAACTGGAATCAAAAATTCAACCAGTCTCATTATTAGTATTGATCCATGCCGCGGACTTACTTCAGTGTCTCTGGGGATGCAGGGTACCATCTGGACGGCCGGCTGTCATTCGCCCAGTTACTTCTTATTTTGTCTTGCGTCATTATTGAAAATAGCCTGCCAGCAACACTTGGAGACCGCAGACAAATCCATGATCTCCTGACCCGTTGTGACAGCGACTGGTGTCCCTGCATTGGGTCAGAAGGGTTTGACGAGATGAAGCAAAAGGATTGGGGAATGGTGACACCAGTAGTACGGCAATTTTGGGAAACGATCCAGAGGTTTATGGTTCAGCAGAGACTTTTTGAACAGCAAACGTCAGCTCAGACAATACGCGAACATCTGTGCCACCTGCTCTGTCGAGTTGAACAAATATCCGCTCAGGGGTTAAATGCGCTATGCATCCCTAGGCCAAATATGCTGTCACCAATGGTTGATATCGACAGCAGAGCAAAAATAGCTCTTGTTTGTATAAGTCTTTCAGTTGCACCAGCGCCCTTTCTACACGGCTGTCAGATTTGGCAAATGGGCGAACGCAAAGTAGACGAGATGCTTTTATATCTTCAAGAATCGCCTCTCTTCTCCTCCGGCATATCATCCCAGCATATTTTATCGGCTTTATTCTCTTTAGAGTTGTTATTCTCTGGAGAAGACGATACTCCTCATCTATCTGCCAATCAGCCCAGGAGTGCACAATGGGATCAGTGGAATGGGGACGAAGACATAGGAGAGAATTCCCAAGCCCGCCATGATGAATCGGTAATCATCATCATGTCCAGGCATTACTTTTAGTTACTAATTTTTGCCGCAGAGGAATTACACAGAGATCGTGATACGAGTCAGTGAGACTGAGCGCAACTTGATTTTCGCAGATCCTAGCATTCGAGAAACATGCCTTGTGAATATACGGCAAGGCTCATTTTACGACTGCTACGGCATTTCCAGGTGAAAAGTCATATGTCGCGCCCCGCATGCGACGCTTCTCAACTTTATGATGCGACAGAGAACGTTCTGCATAGATAGAGAATTATCAGGAGAATGGGCATCTTTTATCAACATCCGGGCCAAAGATAGGAGAGAATGAAAGACTGTGGATTCACAGATCCGTATCTATATAAACTTGGTTAAAGAGAGAACTCAATGTCCTGTGGATGGTGTCGTACAGATTTCACTATGTTAAGTGTCTCTGAGCTGGACTTGTTAGCAATAAGATAGTTATTGCGCTGGTCAATCTGGAAGGTCTCGGGAAATCTATCTCGTCTCCTGTTGAAGCATCAACTTCACAGCTGATATTGCTAGGTTGCTGCTCAAATCTCTCAATGTGGACAATAATCGCTCGTACATCACCCTAAAAGTGTCGCTTGATGGTGGGTCATTACAAAACTGAAGAAGCATATCTTCGTTCTACGACACACAACTACCCACGTTTACCCAAACGATCTGCGAATCGGGCTCGCGTCCCGCCCCCACTTGCGGGGCGAGTGCACCCAATAAGACTCTACCCATCTTGGAATCAGCTTCGGTGATCAATCAGAAAGAAGGTAGATGATAATTAAGTGTGAAATAAGACAAAGCGACTGGAACAAAGCATGTAGTATATTAATGTTAAATTTAGATATAAACCTTGACGTAGCTTTGTATCAGGAAAGTCTTCCGAAGATTTTCCGGCCACGGCCTGTGTCATCGTTGATCGACTGTACCGTAGTTTAGTTACGCGGAGCGAACTGGCTACTTTGATTTAGAAAGCCCAGGGGCATGCTAGGCCAGTTCCGCTACCGACCCGATGAATATCACTAGATGTAGCAAAAACGTGGAATTGATCGCAAAGATGTATATCGAGTCCGCCAACTCCACGGGAGTTATGTCACGCAGGTGAAGACGCTAATCTTCAGCAACCATGGAATGATTTGTTCACGTTTGCTCCTCAGTGCCCCGGCCTGTCTTGTCGTAATATATCAATAGAACGTCTCAGGAGCATCGGCTCTGTGATGGGTCCATATCACGAGATGCGGTGGGCGTACACTGTGGCCTTTCAGCTGAGTGGAAGATTATGCTGTGGTATTTTGAGGGGTATGTATATGGGTGGACGAATTTCAATTGGTCGGCATGGGAGCTGTCGAATAGCAACCGTGTTTTGTCTGCTATAACTACGCTCTTTTGATTGCTATGCCACCATCAAGTATTTGTGCAGTCTTTGTCAAGGCTTAGTAGAAAGTCGAATTCATTCTAGGTGTTAGTCATATTCAATGGGACTTTCAAGTTCCCTTTCCAGTTCCTGAAGTAATCTACTCTCAAAAATCACAAATAATGAGGTTGTCATGTGACCGCAACTAAGGAAACTTGTTAACTTGATTTCTTTCGGCGTTGGTAAAGAATTTCATCAATAGAATGCAAAGGTCTCGAACGTCAGTTGTCCTCTATGTATCGTCGTCCCCAAAATTCTATGGCGGTCTAGACGCATGGTTAGCAGTCGAGAGATACGTTCCTCCTTTTAATGGAGCCACTAGTTGTTTTGAAGTCACGTGGAACTTACCCGTTATCGGAACTGGGTTGCTGAGCTCATCTAGTGCACCAATCGGATTTCAACAGGTCTAAATTGCAAAGAAGCCCCTAGCTAGTTAACTAGCAATTTGGTGGGCAATACAATGACTAATACATGCGGATCCATAACGTAATTCCCGCCCGTCCCGAACACCCGCCCGTTCCGAACACCCTTTTCAAAATCGCGTCCCCCTACCCATCTACCTAATTCAACCACCTACCATGACACCAATACGCCCTGAATCTAGGCAGAAATTAGCCAATCAAGAGGGCAAGATCTTATTAGCCCTTAGTGATCTTCAAAATGGCCGAATCAAATCTCTACGCGCAGCAGCGAAGCTATACGAAATTCCGCTTACTACCCTACACGACCGCGTACACGGCCAATTATCTCGCGTTGATTCTCGTCCATCAGGCCATAAACTGACCCAATTGGAAGAGGATTCGCTTGTTGAATGGATAATCTCTATGGATTCACGTGGAGCAGCGCCTAGACCAGCAACTGTGGGAGAAATGGCTAATATCCTACTGGCTGCGCGTGGTAACCAGCTACCAACTACCGTTGGTAAGAATTGGCCATCTACCTTCATTAACCGCCGCCCTGAGCTTCGCACACGCTTCTCGCGAAGATACGATTACCAAAGAGCCCTAAACGAAGACCCGAAATCAATTCGGCAGTGGTTCGCGACCGTACAAAGCGTGATTAACGAGAACGGTATACAACCAGAGGATATCTACAACTTTGATGAGACAGGCTTTGCAATGGGCCTTATATCGTCGCAGAAAGTAGTCACAAGGGCTGAATACTACGGTCGGAGATCTCTTCTACAACCAGGAAATCGCGAATGGGTTACTGCGATCGAAGCAATCTGCTCAGATGGCTATTCGCTACCGCCATGTATTATCTTCAAAGGCAAAGTAGCTATTGAAGGATGGTTTAACGAAAACCTACCGAAAGACTGGCGAATCGAGGTCTCAAAGAATGGCTGGACTACCGATGAGATTGGTTTACGCTGGTTACAAAAGCACTTTATCCCACATACAAATTCGCGTGTACGTGGGCGATTTCGACTATTGATTCTTGATGGCCATGGTAGCCATCTCACACCCCAATTCGACCAAATCTGCACAGAAAACGACATTATACCTCTTTGTATGCCTGCGCATTCATCGCATCTACTACAACCACTAGATGTTGGGTGTTTTGCAGTGGTTAAGCGCGCGTACGGTCGCTTCGTTAGCGATCTTGCGCGCAGAGGATATAACCATATCGACAAGCACGATTTCTTAGTGGATTACCAACACGCACGGCTAGAAGCCTTCCAATCAGCCAATCCCACTATCAAGAATAGCTTCGCAGCTAGTGGTCTAGTACCATTAGATACCGAGAGAGTGCTTAACAAGCTTAATATCTCTCTACGAACACCGACACCACCAAGCAGCCGTCCAAGCAGCAGATCTAGCGAATTCACACCACAAACGCCTAGAACCGCCGCTCAGCTATTCAAGCAAGCTTCTATGTTAAAAGATCTACTAAAGCGGCGGTCAAATAGCCCTCCGAGCCCATCGAAAGTGATCTTAGACCAGATGATTAAGGGGTTCCAGCTAGCGCTACATAGCGGTGCTTTACTAGCAGAGGATAATACGAATCTGCGTATAGCGAGTGAGAAGATGGTCAAAAAGCGCAATCGGTCAACTAGGAGGATACCCTGCGCAGAGGGTTTAACTATTGAAGAGGCTATACAGCTAGCTGAGCAGCTAAACCAGCCAGAGGAAGATGACGGGGTAGATTCGCATGCAGAGGTCGAATTGCCTAGTCAGCCAACTAGGCCAGCAGCTAGGGCTCCGCCTAGGTGTAGTGGGTGCAGGGAGATTGGTCACAGGATTAATGTATGTAAAAATCGCTATATCTAGTTAAATCAATAGGAGTTGGTTGAGATAATCGATTTTGAAGTAGTGTAATGGGGTAAGGTGTTCGGAACGGGCGGGTGTTCGGGACGGGCGGGAATTACGTTAGTTAGTAATTCCTTTCTCCGAGTATCCACTACTGGTCTTGCTCCGACACCCGTCAAGTAATCACATTACGCAAGGGCGTTGTGTCTCCTTCCAAAGGTAGTGTAGTGTATGATACAAGTTCGCATTACGGACCATTGCGGCTGAAAGGTCCTTAACAACGCAACCCAAATCCCGTCACCGGTGCAGGAGGAGTTCCTATTGGCTGGAAATTGTAGCCGGTGGCTTTTGTGGGGGCGAATCTACCTGGTCTGAGTCGACTGTATCAAAAGTACGAGACCTAAGCGGAAACGCTGGATGGGCTTATCCGCTTCACAACTGAGAAATACGACATCTACTTGCTCTTGAGATATTCTGTCTTCAGAATCATTCAGCATTTTACATCACCTGGTATATATTGCCTCCATACTTGCCTACTACCATCTCTCAAGTATTTTCGAGCTATTCAGTCCATCCTGTTAGCTTTCTTACGGCATCGAGATCTATTAGGAGTGGACGTCAAGTATCGTCCAATTTCTTCTGTTTCCAATTCAGAGGCGTGACTCTTCTCGAGACAGGGGGTTTGGAGCGAGATCTCTTTTAGGGACCCAAATGGCGAGTCATAAATGACATATACCGCTTATTTGCATGAACTTTATCTTCATATCAGGTGGGAATATTACTTTACACACTGACCAACAGTTGGCAACAATCAGTACTAGTTCGGGGATCAAGCTTACCGGGTTTTAGACCTCAGACTTCTATTTTACTGTAAGCGCCATGCACAGACTCTCGCTGAACGAAATAGACTCGTTCAGCATAGACTGGACTCAATTGTGGGATCCTTTGAGTAGTATATGTCTGTGCGCTCTAATAACCCTAGTTGAAACGCAACTTTATAAGAAATTCGAGCTCACAATAAGCGGGGGTTACAATACTGCTATTCATTTCCACGTTACCCCGTCGAATGGCTGCTGTCCCATAGAGATTTTATGTCCATCAGTGGATGAATATTCGACTCCATGGCTTCCAAAGCGTGGCCTCCCGGCACAGAATCAATTGAATGCTCAAACAACGATTAAAAATTTTTGCTGTCTACCAGCATAGCTAACTGCGAGGGAGAAGAACCTTGAAGAAAACATCCCGTCTGCACCCCCATATCCCTTGGATTAATAGGAGGCACACACTTGATGTAACTAGGGAGGCTCCGAAGGTTACTAGAAATTATCATTTTTAAGCGCTAGGACCCATACCTAGTTCATGATGTGAGGCATGTTTACCTCCTGCTATTTTCTTTTTTTTCCTATTCTCTGGTACTTTTGCTTTGCATTCTTTGTGGCTCCCTTGATTCTTCTAGTATTAATACACTAGGAAAAAAGCCTTAAAGAAAGAAACATAGAGGTGAAAGTCTTCATCTGTTGTGAAAATTGAATGAGGATTAGAGAACTGGATACACTATCGCGTGTCCCAGGTGCGATCTTTCAGCCATTTATCTCGGTGAAAAGTATGGCGAGCGGGAAACCCTCCCAAGAGCTGCTCGATTCTCAGTTGCTTCAGAGCACCCCGCCGTATACGTCAGCGCCAGCCAGATACCACTCGTCGGCGCTGCCTCCGTTTCCTTACCGACTTGCGGGCAATAAGAGAGGATTCCGTCGAGTCGGCAACTTTACCGTAAATCCCAAAGTCCCAATTCCCCGAGCGGCTCCCACCGAAGCGCCGGGCAAACTCAGAGCTAGGCAAGCGTGTAGCCAATGCCGAGAGCAGAAAGTCAAGTGCACCGGACGCCAGCCATGCCAACGTTGTGAGGAAAAGGGAATCGATTGTATCTACGGGCTTCGCAGTCGGGATGTTTTAGATCAGTAGGTGGAGCCCTCCATTACTAACAGACACGTTGCGTGCCTCTAATCGGACTACATAGGAAAATAGCAGAATTGTCCGCCGAAACCAAGCTTTACCGAGATTTGATCCATGAATTATACCCTGGACTTGACATTTCGTCAGCACAAAAAATTCAACATGTACTCCATGACCTAAGACTCGAAGTGCAACCTAACGTGTATTCAAATTTGCGGTGTACCAGTCCAGTCAATTCATGTCTTAGGACTACAACGTACGACACTAAAATCGGAAGCGTCGATATCTCATTTACAATCAAAGATCACGCAGACGAAGATTTCAATAGCAGCCAACGCCTGCAAGCGATGGGGTTTATTGGTGAACACTCTCCAACAGCATGGCTCTTTGAACTTAAGCGCCACCTTGCAAGGGACACCAGTCCCAAACCCGGGGACGAAGACTGCCCGCCGTCGATCTCGGTGATGAACTATTTTCAGGACACGATCAAGGTCGAGATCCTCGAAGACGGTAGTCAATGGACCCTTCCGCCTAGAAAAGAGGCAGACCATCTTTTAAACTTTTATTTCCGGACTATTCATCCCGAATTTCCAGTTCTTGGAAAGATAGCGTTCAGTTGGCAATATCAATCCTACATCTCGAGCCCCAACGCCAGGCCTGGCAGACGGTGGATGGCCCTATTGCATCTTGTGTTTGCCATTGCTGCGAAAGTCTCCCCACTAGCAAGTACCTATTATGGGGAGAGCACTAGACACCACGATATCTACTTTTCACGGGCCTGGCAATTGGGCATTGATCACGTGGCCTTGAGGGACTCTCCGGATCTACAACAAGTGCAAGTAGAAGGTCTTGCGGCATTTTATCTCGTGTGCGTGGGGGAGATCAATAGGTGCAGTACCTTATCATTTTTGTGATTTTCATTGACTAGGAACGTGTTTGTCAGCTAACTCTCGAAATCAGGGCGTGGCGAATGCTTGGCACGGCTTTTCAATCCGCAGTGGCAATGGGGCTTCATCTCCGCAATTCGGCAAGTGAAGTCCAATTCTCGTCAAAGGAGATTCGCTATCGCGTGTGGTGGGCGCTCTTTGTGATGGACTCCTCGTTGCAAGCGATCACAGGTCGCCCGCCCAAGACCGACACGCATTTCTGTACCACGCCCTTACCGATGCCTTACCGTGAAGAAGACCTCGCGAACAATGCTATCAGGCACCTTCACACTGACGTTGACGCACGTAATCAATTTTTGGGAACATTTCTTTTTTTTCACCGATGCGGCAGACCATACGACAGGTCTAAGGCCATCAGGATATACTCAGATGGCTAGTTCTGAATCGCATAAGGCGATATCAGATGAAGGGATTATACAAGGAGTGAAAGATAGTGTCGATTCTGCGACTCCGGCGACTTCTGTGACTTCTGAGACTACTGCAACCCCTGAGCTCTCACTGTTCTTTGTTCACGCTGTGGACTTGGCGCACCTGGCACACAAGGCTATCGAGGTCTTGTACTCTCCACAGCCGCCTCAGAGATCCTTCCCGGACCTTGAGGTACTAATCTCAGGTTTTAATGATTCAATGGATCAATGGCTTCTGCACCTCCCACAAGATTTCAATTTTACTATGAGCCACGATTTGCGGTCTTGCTCGCCTCAGACTGTAAGTCTCGGATTTCGATTCTATGGTGCAAGGATCGTTGTCAATAAACCATGTTTGCATTATCTGGCCTATAATTTGACCAGGCCAGATACTTTGCAATCTTTCTATCCAACTGCGGCAAATCTCTGTGTGCAAGCTGCTTACGAAATGCTGGACCTTTTGCCATCCACGGTCGATCTCTCTTGGCTCTGTCTTACAACCCCATATTGGCTGGTGCTCCATCATATCATGATGTCTATTACTGTCCTTTTGGTCGAGCTCTTCTTGCGCTCCAAAGCCCAATCTCGCGGGGAGAGGAGCGTTCTTGCGCAGGTTCAAAAAGCTTTGCGCTGGCTCAAACTCATGTCTAATAGTGACGCCTCCGCAGAAAAAGCATGGCTGATCTGCAATAATATCTTAGCGCAACATGAGTCACAAAAGTCTCCTGTTAATAAGAACGAGGAAGGCCGATGAACCTCTGCGCCCTTCATCTTTTACTACGACCCATTCATTTTTTCTCGTATCTACTATCTACGACTGTAAAGCTTGAGACCGAACACGAGTCGATCTTAAAAAGCTAGGAATTCCACCAACAATATATACGATCGCTAATGACAGGGGATTCTGGATATAGTTATGCGTCTTCTTCCTACTTCAAGACTTCAGTATTCACCCCTTGGTAATCTTTCGGGCACAGAGATGATGAAATTGCACTCTGGTCCGATATTGTTAATTGAATCGTTCACGCTTTCCATCCGTCAAGGTCGTGGAGGATTCAAGGACTTGGGGCATCCGTGAAGATTGTCCTTCAGATCGCAGGCTGGGTTATTGAACCGACCGGAATGAGGCGTGAGCTGAAATCGAGCTAGTATTACAAATTGCACAATAATGCATCATCATGAGGGAAGACGCCGGCTACCTACCCAGCTTAGCTTCTTCGTGAGCGATACAATTCATCCCTAGAGACGGCAGCACGCCGTATGTCCCTGTCGTTGATACAAATTCATACCCCTGTAGAGCTTAGTGACCCCGCAACATTTTAACAGGGTACAAAAAAACTTGTTCTGGACTCCTCTCCTGGGCGGTTACGTATATAGCAGTGAAATCTGGCCAACCGGTAAAATAGCTCGGGAATTGTTTGATGCGCACGAACCGCTGGAGCAATTCAGTGAGAACGGCGCTAGCATGAGTCATGCAAGTGCAAGCCCCTTTATGATTCAACCTCACAGGATGCGAGCAGACTAAAAACGTCCTAAAAATCTTTATTTGGGACATGTTGGCCAGTCTGCCATCAGCATATTCAAATCCTATGCGATGCATAACATATCGACAGCTAGTAATATCTGTAAAGCAATGATTTAATTTTGGTAAAGGCCGAGGTAAAGTAACGCAACAAACTGGTAGCCTCGGAGCCCCTGAGTGTAATGCAGCAGAGATGTCACTCTCCCTTATCATTTCGCTTCGTGGCTCTACCTAGAATGGTTTTGTTAACTCAAAATATATTTGATTACGCGACAAGCTAAGGCAGGTTCCATATACATCGAGTCAACCCCAATCCACAATGATTACGCATTTGAAAACCTGGCTCAGAACAGCACGGAAACATGGTCTCGCCCTCGCTATTTGAAATGTTTCTTATCGTAATAGCGCAATATCACCATTGCGGGAGTCGTCCTATTTCCGGCATGTTGGATAACAGTGGCCTAGAAGCCGGGAAATAGTGGGCAGCATTGTGAGTTTCACTTTGGGCAAGAGCATTGGCACTTTCATACCAATACGGGAACTGAGGTGGGTAATAGGGAGCTGCCATGTCCGAGGATGCCTGCAAGGAGCCGGGCCCCCACTGGGGCGGTGTAACATGGAAAGGTATATAAGGCTCACGAGAGTAGAGGAAAGATACCACCTGGTCGTGGCAGTTCTCGTCTTGGCCCGTGGTGAGACGCTGTAAGGTGCCACATTGTGTGAAAGAAGTGAAAGAATTGTTCACATGAGACAAATGTGCGCAGTCGCTGGCGAAATTATCCACGGACATCATTTTGTTTTTTTCAATATCGGCACACCCTGAAAGTCCAGAACTACTAGGGTTTCTGATTTTGTTCGAAACTTCCGGACTTGAAGTCTGTTTGACCAGTTGCTTGCCTATGTGGAAGAAATTAGCCTCTTGAATGACGATAACTCTGAGCAACGTGTTACCTATCTGTCCACTGAGCAACCATTCCTCTGCCTCTCTCAGATTGTAGACCTCCTCAAGAAATTTGAATTTGCTTCTTGGTCGAATTTGATCTCGAATAGACCGATCTGCCTCTCTGAGTGTATCCACAGTTATTCCATGGCTTACGCGCAGCTCACGAACGATGTGAATGAGGAGTCGAATACGCTCTGGGCGGTTAGCCAAACATAGGGAAATAATGGTGGAACCTTCTCATACCGGTTTTCGGGAGATGATCTGGCTCGTGGTGGCGCACTAGAGAAGGCCACCAGGGCGGCTTTGTCTGCTCTGGATCAAACTGGATTTTCCTACCCCCAACTAACTTTCGTCCATTATATGGGTAGTTGACTTGCTTTCTTGGCTCAAGTATCTTGATGTACGCCTTGGCAAGGACACGGCAGTTGGTTTGTTGAAAATTTGCGAATGCGTTCTCATAGCGCTGAACCATCGCTTTTGAATCTTGGGTTGGGAAGGTGCCATTATCGTATTTAGAGCCTTGCGAGAAAGGATACGCAATAGGTCCAAACTGGTCCAAATTTGCATTATCAGTCTGAAAGGTGTTGGTTTGCCAATGATAGTCCTTCTCCTGCGTCCAAATTGACAATTTGCGCCGTGGCCGCTTTGTCTGTTTCATTTTTACGGGTTTGATTATCATGCGGGCGTCGGGCTCAGCAGAAGTGAGGAGCTGTTGCTGTGAATTCAAGCGGTACATTTTCGTGGAGCCGGTACCTAAAGTGACAAAGCTTGTCAACCTCTGAGTAGTGGTCCTACGCGCAAAGCAGGAACCATATGCTTACGGTAGATTATCATGCACAGATGCCGCTGGTCAATGATCATACTATCAACTTCTGCATGGCTCCTCTGTCCCGGTTTCGAATAAAGACCGATCGATTTGGGCGACTCGACTGGCTGTAACGTCAAAGGAGTTTACTTGAGCTTGGAGATCGTAGAGCGGGTCTATCACACAGGTTGAGTCGGCTAACTGAGTTGATGACGCGCAAAGGGTGCCTTGGAGATGGAAATGAATTTGAAAACTCGAGTGATAGGCCAGTAATACCGCAGTTTTTAGGGCCAAAAAAAACTGGGAGGGCGTCAGGACACATTATGTATTGCTCCATCGACTGGTTTACCATTATGGTAAAGATAAACAAGCCCCGTTTACCATTTGACCATGAACTATCGAGAGGTCTTTGTTCCTATTGAAGCCACTTGCATTTATATTCATCGTAACAAGGAAGGTAGCTCCAGGTAATATGTTTCTGGTATGGAATACGAAGTGGCTTGCAGGAGTTCACTGCACTCCCCTATTTAGTGGAAGTAGGTTCATAGCGTTCGGCTAAATTGGTTGCCTTATTGACCAGCCGGTAATAAGGGGCCAATGCTAATGGCTGGCTCCTATCCCGCCAGTATATGAATATCGCACACATAGCGGCGACTAGTTACCAGGCTATTAAGTCGTCTATCCCATAGAATGGTTTTCCCGCTATCACAAGACGATCTCCCGGCACTAGCTTACATACCGGGCTGTTAAACGGTGACTAAATGAACCACAAGGTTATCGGGATACACTGTGTCTCGTCCTTGTACCATAAGCAGGCACCAGGTTTGCGTATCTTGAAACTTTTAAATCAAAATCATAATATTTAGTGAGAGCAGTGCTTTATCCGCGTACATATGGCGGAGTGAGGAAGCAAGCTATTAGCGGCCGCCACTATGCTTCGTTTCAGCGCCATCTGTTATCAACGCCTTCTTTACTTGTCCCATATTACCCCTCACGAGTAATATTCGACTAATTTAATATATGCCTTAAAAAGGTTTAGCTAATTAGGCACTGAAGGGTAGGAGGAACAAGGAAGACTTTAGCACAAGCAATCGCGACTTGTTTGATTATAAAGGATCTTCTACCTAACGCTAAGTTATCACGTTTTGTCGTGAGGTAACTGAGTCATTCGTTCTTCGTTCTCTTTCGTCCATTAGAAACAATCTAATCAACCAGCAAATAAGTAGAGAGACGGGATGTCTAGAACTGCAGAAATTTTGCCGAAAAATCAGTTTGCTAGTAGACTGATGTCGGGCGTACCGTTGATCACATACTCCAGTGCTCAAATTCATACGCTCATAGAGAGTGAAACAGCTTCGTATTATCTAGTTTAAGAACAGGTACCCTAGAACTAGCAGTAATTGGTGGGGCGAGGGCTCGTCAGTAACGCCACTTCGAGGCGTTCATGCACCTCGACCTCGGATGCTTGATGTCTAGTTACCCATTCCGGAACACGGGCATGAAAGGCAGACAACATGAATCATGTTACCGCCTTCCGCCCAGTAATGGAGTTTAGCCGTGCACTGACCTGACGATCTTTACGCCACGTTCTTACAGATCTGTTCTCGCCTTCGGCGACACCCATAACCCCGCGGAGAGTAATCCGTGCCTTCGCTCTCTTGCCGAAAAACATTGTGGAGCATCCGTACAGAGTTTTGAAAATTTTCACCACCTTCTCAGCTATGAAATTACGAAGCTAAACATAACGCATAGGTGGCAATGCCCTCAAACCACTAACACGGAGTCGGAGTGGATTTGCAATAGTGTAAGACTCCAGGACAGCCGCCTACGTTGGAAGGCGAGTTTCGTCTCAATTACATGAGGGCATCTCATACTGTGGTCAACAAAGTGCGATGTGGGGCGCCAGAGGAGCCTAAGTCCTTGGTTCTGGTAATCCGATATTTCGAAACGCACTAATATACAGTGAAATATCCCCTCGGTGAAGTTTCTAATGAGGACATGCGCGACCACAATATAAATGATGTCTCATTCTGTCGACCTTCCTGAAATCCAGATCCAAGTGAATGTATTCAATCCGAAGATCGCCGTTAGTAACTCGGAGCTAATGACTCAGGGGATCAATCTACAGCTCCTCAGTGTACATAAACCAGCAACTTTTTCCAAAGGCAAAACATAACCTTCGTAATTTTGCCCGGCAGCGACGTGATTGGGGGTATTTTCAGATCTCTCCCGAAATATCCAAAGGTAAGTGTTCGTTAAGAAATGTACACCATGGAGAATTCGTCCTGCGGTTGAATGGTTTGTCCCATTTTCTATGAGCCAACCTTTTCACCATGAACGGTTTGCATGCTTAACAACACTACGGCCGGATTAACGCTAGATCGTCTCTTGATGTACGATCCTGATCTGTAGCTAGTAGTATCTACGTTACGGTATGCAACTCTAGTATCATAGTGTGTGCTTCTGATTTGGAAGTCTCCAAATCCATGCGGGGTCTCAGCCCGGGACAAATAAAAAGTGTGTCATATGACGGAACTCAAGGAGCCGCCTGTGCACGGGCGCTCAGCAAAGTCTAGAACAGATCTGCAAGGAAGTGACGCACTGATCGCTAGGTCAGTGCGCGTGGCTTTTATACGCGTGCGTAAAATGAGGAGTAAGCTGGACGTTAAACCATAGAGATGGATGAACGGAATTTGATAGGAGTTACTAAAGGATATAACATATCAGCGTAAACAGTCGCTCCACCAATTACCGTTAATCCTAGGACTAGCCTATTCAGTACAAGCTAACGATGCGTATATAACTTGAAACGCCAGCGCCGTCTAGGTGCTTACTAACTCCAGCGCTGAACTAAGTGAACCAGGATGGGTATGAAGCTAGTCTAATAACGGAAGTCTTTATGGTATTACCCTGGTGTTTCCAGCTCTCGTCGCTGGGAAGGTGGTTCAAACGACTGAGATAAGATAAGGGACTCTTTTACTGGGCGATAAAAAGAGCTGGGCAGAAGAAATTCGTATGGAAAGTAACGAACCGCGATCGCTTGTGCTGAATTATTTGCTCCTTACATTACCCAGTACCCGAATATCCTGGCGTGTTTCAATGATAGACTACATAGCGGCTTGCCACAAAAAAGCGGTCAACTAAACAGAGAACAAGAGTCCTGACTACATATGGTTCGGAAGTGAAGCACAGTAGCAGCCGCCACAAATTGTTTTTCCTTAACAAAGGTACGCGAACCAAGCTCCATTGCTCTTAGTATTCTGATCCTCAGTATTTTCTGGGTATTTATGGCAGTTCCGAGGACCCCCTAGGTTCTTCGCCGGCTCGTCAGAAGTCCTTTGTGTTGAGATAATAACATTTCAACGACTCTATTGCCCCTTATCAAGCCTTAGGCAGCATTTTTGCCTTGCTAGTGGCTTTTATACGGACCCATAGGATGCATTCAATCCGCGCCACGAGGAAACAATTGTGACCAGCCAATAGCCCCGCAAGCGAAGGGGCATTTTTGATATGAGAGTTGTGTGGGAGTCGCTGTTTTTTCATAGATTGTCTCGTCTGTCCATGAAAGAGTACGTAAAACATAGGACCCATGCGCTTACAAGTAAGACGTGTGATTACCAGAAGGAATCTCTATTTTTTTCATGTTCCTATTAGGTGCTTTTCCTAGACCACTCTCATCCACTGCAGATTAAGCTTGTTGTCACTATGAGGGGTTCATATTACATGTATGTCTTGAAACCAATGGCCCAGAATATTAGCTTTCCCGCAGGACCAAGAATAATCAGCGTCCCATAGATAGTACCGGCGGCGCTGAAAGCCAATATCTGCGATCGATTCAAGTGCGACTACTGGAGTCTAGATTTGGCTTAATTTCGGGAATCCCATGCAGCTCTCCGTTGAAGCATTGCTGTAGCTGCTGTTAGTCAAAATCTATACTTGTGCTGGTTTGATGCCTTGGTTTGATATAAATCACTCTAGCCATGACTGGGAGGAGTACGTTCATCCTTAACAACCTGCTGAAACTGTTGCATTCTTATTTGAACAGGCATCAGCGGTTAGTGATTTCTACATGATTCTGACCTTTCAAAGAATTTACATTGACTACTCCAGAGCCTTCTGATCTTCTCTCACCTTCCAGGTGCCAGGTTATTACAGAGTATTACTCTCTGTCTTTAAGGCCGACTGAAGAGCAGGTGGAAGCCCCAATCTTTCAAAGCAACCACGCAAGTAGCAGAATCATGGACATCTACTAGCACAACCTCACTTACGGATCTGGCTCTGTAAAGCTGCTAGTTCGTGGTGCGCCCAGAGAGGATACCAGCCCATCTGGCTAGGCACCAATGTCTCCATCCAACTGCTAGAACAATGGCCGAGCGAACAACAGTCCTTGAGGAGGCCGTCCAACCTCAGCCATGTGATCTAGACATGGAACCACTTCCGACTCCCATACCTTGCGACCGGCCAATCCCTGGATCACTAGTTCATATACATATCGCTGCCCAGAAACCGTTTGCCTTTATACATCTCGGAGTCCTATAAGGGTGCAAAAACACCGTTGGGAGAAGCGTGTAAAATCAACTGGCCATCTAGCAAGACGCCCTGGCATTACGGCCACGGGATGCAGCCTATTATGACCCAGCAAGTGCAAATAATTATTCCTATCTGAGTCTCACAATTCGTACTCTATCGTGACACCCGGGGAAGTCGCGGGGCGGATACGGCAGGCACAGCGCTTGGGCAAAACGGAGTTGGTTCAATCCCGGGTCAGTGCATCTCTTTATTTGCGGACAGGATTACTGAGGTAGAGGACCAGATTGTGCCAGATACCGATGACAGGACAGAACGTTCCCTGTGGCCTGAGCCGACTCGGTCACTCGAGGTGAGGGAAAATTCGACCTGAAATTGCAGCACCACCAGATGATTCGAGGCTAACATTTATTTTCCAATAAATACTGGGTCTTTTGCTGGGTCTACCGGAATCATGATTAATTATGCGGTCTGCGTAGTAGGATGTGATGAAGTTGGGCTTTCTTAGCCGGGTTGGGTCAAATGATCATCAAAGCCAACCAAGACTGCGCTATGCTAGAAACGGTTGAAAGTCCCGTTCAAGTGGCCGACACACTCAGTGATTTAACTCCCCTCCAATCAGATCCCGCTGCACCTAACGCGATAGTTAGCTTTCATAACCTCGCCCGTGTTCTTATTGATCGGTTGATCAGCTCCAACAACACCATGGCTGCTGTAGCCAATGCCATGAGGAGCGGGAGCATGTCTAGGAAGCACATTATACCGAGCATTCAGGCTTGGAAGAGTACATGGACCGTCCGGCAGATTGGGGATATCCGGAAATTTTCAGCGCGACGAGTGTTGCTAGACGTGAGTACGACCTCACAGGTCGAACTGGCGCAAAGAGAAATCGTGAGATCTATATTCGGGGATTAATTCTGTCACGCCCGGTCCTCGTCCAGTCCACCCTTACCTTACTATCCACCATAGGTAGGTATGCTCCCTCTCGGTCCCTTCAGATGTCGATAGTATAGGGGGTTTTGTGCACAGCGTTGCCTTGACCCTCGTAGAGATGTAAAGCTTCTGAGTCTGTTCCAGTTCACTGATCTCGCTTAGAATACTTAATGTATACTACTCCTCCGAAAGATTGCAACAGGCGTTTGCTAGATATGGCTATGTATAGGGCAGCATGTTGGATGCTATCAATTCAGTAGGATTGCCATATCGAAGGACACCGACTCAAAATCGCAGCCAGGCCGTTGAAATTTTTGAAAAAAACATTTCCAAATCCATAGCATCATATGATGATAGTAAAAAAGACAACTGTAGAATAAAGCCCACACTGAAAACAGTCTCTAAAGGAAATACACAGTAGACATGTCCTGGAACTATGCTCTTTAGCATCCAGTCGCAGGCACCCACTCGAATGTTTGAAGATCTTGAGGATCCGAGATGTGCGAATGTGGGTCAAATCGGCACCGGTGGATGTCTGTGGACCCACAGCTTGCGAGTTGACAATGGTGGCCAAAGAAACATCTTCTCGATCGACATGCACCAAGTTGTGCGCATGGATATTGAACCATTATGTGCTTTTGAACTTCAATAATCGCATCTGAAACAGAACCGTGATCGTAGGGACAGTTCTTTCTATTGCAGCTGCCGGCAAGCTGGTAGCTATTGCAAACTTTCTGCTGCGCAACTCTCTGGCGATACTCTTCAAGAGCTTTTGCACTCGGGCTTGGGCAGAAGAAATCGAGACGCCTTCCAAGCCTATTCAGCGGTATATGATCTTCTGTTGTAGAAGATCTCCGAGGTAGATTAACCGAGAACAAATCGTCCAGATGTCTAGTGACCAGCGAATCGGGAACGTAGTTCGTGCAAGGCTCTTGCAAATCAGAAGAGGACGGGCATGTGGGAAGCTGATTGTTGAATCTATTTTCGCAGACACCATCCAAGCGCTAAAAGATATGTCAGTATCAACCAAGTCATAGCTATGAGACACCGATACTTTCTGCGAATCGTCAGCCAGCGGCTGAGGTGAAGTTGGGCGAAGAAGAAACGGATTTCTTTTTTCCAGCCCCATCTGGTAGTCTCTGGCATCTAGGCGAGTTGACTTGAATACAGAAGGCAGCTCCTCAATCGAGAGGTCTAAAGCTTCAAAATCTCGATGAAATGAACCAGCTCTGAGGAGAGTGATAAGATCGTTCCTGCCCTTATATGGAGTTAACATGGAGAGATATCCGACGTCATGACATCCGCCGAAATAGATATGGTGGCACTGATCAAGTCCAGTGAATAATCGAAACATCTCTACTGATAGTTAGCAAATACTCTAGCCTTTTAATTTGTAAATCGAGCTGTCCTTCCCTACCCCTTATCTTAAAGTCACTGCTCTCCTTCTTTGTGCCCGCATCTACAAAGTCAAATAGATCCTGCCCTCGTGTGAAGGCTGTGGTGAATTCAAGAAGTGCCTGAGTTCCATCGTGCACAATGCCAGCTCGGGCCAAAGCTCTAGAAAGCCCAAGGACATTTGCGTATGCACGAACCATAATTTGGCACTCTTGGAGCCGTGTTTGCTTATTAGATAGCATCAGATCATGAATTCTATCACGTAGCTCGTGTGCCACATCAATTCCTCCTTCGCTTCCGCGCTGTAAGTAGCGATCTTGAAACTTTGGCGTAATTAATAGAGTGATTTTGTCTCCGAGAGCGCTTTGAAAACCCACAAGGTAGCCATCTGCATCCAAGAGTACTAACACGAACGAGTGTCTGTCCTATTTGTCCATCAGTCTCTCGATTGAGTCAGTCCCGGTGATCCTGCTCGTATCTTACAACCTGTTTCTTGAATTGCCGTGTCTTCTCCCCTTCTTCGAAATTTTCTCTCATAGCAGAGTAGTCCCTGAGTAGATTTTTGAATCTCTCTAGCAAATCCTGTAGCTGGTCATTGTAGTGAGTGCTTTCCGCTGAAAGGGAAGTAATGCCAGCCGCCAGTGAGCGTAACTCAGTATCGTCTAACATAATGATCAGATAACAAGAGAAGGTCCTTGTTCGCCCGTTATCGTGTAAAGAGATTCAAATCTGCGTAGTCTGATCATCGGAAGCTGATTGACGCACTGCTCCAAGGGCCATGAATATCCAATTTTTGGACAGTAGCAGCTATGACAGAAAAGTACGTCAGACTTCCCTATTAGAGCAGCAAAGTAACTTCAATTCCTTGGGGGTTCTCTATTCAAAATGACCCTCTGGATGGTGAGGTAAGGTTGATAGACGACTACAGGCGTGCCGGCTAGAGGGACTGCCCGTCCCTATCCTCCCGCAATGCCACTGCAAGGTAGTACTACCGATTATACGGATCTAGTTAGAGGAACTTCTTTTCGCCCCACTACCCCTTGTAAGGGTATCTGCTTAGGTCGCTGAACATTCTATCCTGCATTCATATCTCTCTCCATTCATGTTTAACCCCCACATTCGCAGAGACGAGGTTACTGGGTATGTTAAATAAATTTGAACTCTCACTCCACTCTAATAACTCTGAGACCAATATCAAGCCGTTGACTCAGTGTACCTGTGTACTTCTTGATTTTCTGGAACAAGTAACCAGGCCAGGTTATAGTCAAGGGTCATTAGTATTCGTAACATGATACTTACCCGCTTACCTTTCGGCTAGTAGGCGAGTTCGCTGTAACAGTTACTACAACTCGCTGTGCCACAGGGCCGATTTCTCGGTAGCGAAGCCTATTGGTCGGAATGCAAGCTATCAAATGGATGTCCTTTTACATTAGCAGCCCGATCTGTCTGCTACCAATCTTGACCCAACGTGCCACTTTGAAGCTGACGCTGATTCTCTTTGCTTCTCGTTGATAGAACCTTGGCGAAGATGTTACCCTGACTGTAACATTCTCTTTTATTTCAACTTTATCCATTCAATGCGCCTGCCCCTCCCGGGTTGGCTAGGCCTAGAAGGAACCCAAGCCTGACAAATTCCTGACCCCTGGAAGCTATGTTCATTACTTCATAAAGATTTACGCGAGGGTTCCAACACTTTGGCACATTTGACCTTGGAATTACTGGCGTCGTATGTAGCGGAACCGGTCGAAGTGATGTCTGTGTAAGTCACTCCCGTGTGTTATCACACGGTACTTTCTTCCGCCCGATCTTGATGAGGCCCCAATTAAACACCCCAGGTAATGGACCTACTCGGTTTGTACTTGCTCTTTGTTTCGTGACGTGATATTTCCTGAAAGTTCTCGTAGCTACTTTCAGAGTTCCAAAATTCTCGTGATAGTGCCTTCCATGTCTCAGCAATTACGCGTTTTGATTTCTCTAAATCTGGGTCAGATCAGTTGTAGATTTGTTTAAATCAACAGACATTGCCTAGCCAAAAAGGAGGTTTAAACCACTCTGTCTTCATTGACATACAGTGACCAGAAAATTGGCATTAACGGTGCGTGTTCGTTGGAGCGACTTTGTGGACTTAAATTACAATGGACAGAGCCAAGGAGGCCAGAACATGCTCAGTTGTCGTGGGTATTGTAATGGAGTTTGGCTAGTTTTAAGAGGCTACATTTTTGGGGTTCTACAGGGCCACAATTGTTCAGCATTTGCTGACCTATCTTCCCACCAATCGGAGCTCCGCCCGAAAGCTACTGTTACCGTATCCAGTAATCTACGCCTGTATCGTCGGGTTCACATACTACGAGTGATTATTAGGAAAATTACTTTACCTCCTGGCCCTCAGGTAGTCTCTTGTGATCCCTTGCGACTTGGGTGTAATCCTGGAAGGAGAAGAGGAGATAGATCCGGAAAGAAATTGCGGCGACCCTTGGTGACCCGTGCATTACCTGAAGTGAGAGGTTCAAGGAATTTTAAATCACTCCAAAACGGAAGTCTGCCATCCTCGAACAGAAAATAAATTATAGCCGCCGAGATATTGGTATATCATTGTAGTGAAATTGTGAATTCATGCGACGACACCTCTCATGGAGAATTTGAAGCCGATGCGCTACTTGCACACTGATGAACCTTGATGACTATGTGGAGAGCTAAACCTTATGAAACAAAAGCAATATGTCAAATCTTTTGACAATCAAAAGAATAGGAAGCCCAGTGGTCGAGCCTGTTCGGCTAGTCGTGCCGCTTTTGACTGTCTTCCTTATTACTTTTAAGCATCACGCATGTGGATAAGGTGAGGGGACAAGCTAGCTCGGACGTCCTCCCTCAATTAGAATGATGATGTTTCGTTGCAAAAAAATTTGCAACTGCCCGGGTCAGCCGGTGGGGCGTTTTTGATGGGTTATATTGCGATGCCGGGAAGTTAAACGATCGCGATGGAGAAGAAACTGTGATTTTAATATTCGTGTCGTCGATCCTGTCTCTTATGTCTAGCTCTCTTCAAAATTTCATTAACATTTGTGTAAACATTTCAGGCTCTGCGCACTGCTTGACCCTAGGTTGCCCGTGATATTTATTCCATGGTACTAAAATTAACGTTGCTACGACAGAGTATTGGACACCAGTCGATAATCACCTTCAACGCATCATTGTATGCATGCTCGAATCACTTCCTGGTAATAGGGGATATCATATTAACGGTGCAGGACTTCCTCCGCGTCCAATCCATCCTCAATCTAGGAGACTTGTTGTCTCTTCTTTGCATGAAAATACGATAAACCAAATACAAACTTTGCCGCAACATCCGCAGCGCTAAGCTTCGTTTGATTCTAGCACATCCATTGATTTTGGCTTTGACCCAGGTCTTATAAGCCTCAAATTGCACCAACTACGGTAGAGAGCACCTACTACTTTAGCTTCTACCAAAAGATCTCGATATTTACGCCGTGTAGGCTTTACTACTATAACTGAAAAGATATGGGAGCCATGTGTATGAAAAAGAGAACAGCGATGCTCCATAAAGAGTGAGAAGCGTTATATTTGGGAATATCTATCACAGAAAGAGTTGGTGCATTGACGAGATGCGATACAGGTAGGGCAGTGTGGAATATACAAGGGAGTTATGGTCAGGGGACGCTAGCTTAAATGATGATTGTAACTAGTGGACTTGAGCGTATGGCATGCCCCCTTGCTTCCAATGAAAGATGATTTAATGACTGTTGAAATGGAAGAATCATGCCCGAGCAACCTGTCCTCTTGTTGATTCTGAATAGCATTTATCCAGTTTAGCGCCATCGGTAGAAGTATAAAGGGACCCTTCTGCTTGATTGATGAACAGTTCATCTCTCACCTCTTCTCTCACCGGTGAGACGCTGTCTGCCTAATCTCTTCTTTTCCTAAGTCAATCAAACTTCTCAATATCGTCCCAACTTTTGAAGGTTGGCGATTTCTGCAGACACCTCCTAACGCACCCTCCTGGGTTCAGCATTTTAAAAGGCAAGTACGAAAATACTCATCGGAATTCAAGTGTTGAAATTTGTTGAACTTATCTGATGATTAGGTAGATTGATGGCAGACAGACGTCCAACAAGTACATTGGTACCTTTGCATAATTAAGGACGAACATCAAGATCTGCAGCACATGCAGTGGTGTTGTACATGGGGAACCAGTTTGGACTAAAAAGGCATAGCTTCAGCACCGTATTTTAAGCCGAGAAGTGCGTTTGCGCATCCGATTACCGGTCGACACGCAATGTGCAATGCCTCGGTATACAGGCAGCCTACTTCGGTCACCCACGCGGACTTGGATTGTGGGATTGCTTTGTCACCGATGAATCCTTCAAGTGAATAAGAGCGGCATCGGCGGTGATGCTGAGGTAGGTTGCCCTGTTACAGCAAGGTCGCTGAGCCTGGTCACCACACTTGGCCTGCTTCTATCCGAAGGTGTTGCTGCTATGGAGGTGCGGACCAAGTGTGAGGACAGACTCAGCCACCCTACTATAACAAGTCTACCCTACCTTAGTGACACTACCGAGATCGCAAGGTTCAATGGAAGCTCGAAAGGCGCAGTTCTGACTAGTAAATGATGCACTTTTTTGCCAACAAGGTTGGGATTATGACGTGATAGTCTGCATTGGAAAGGATCGATCGATAGATATAAGCTCAAGGTGCCGTGTTTGTTTGCTTGAGATTCATATGCTAAATGCTCATGCTAGATGCTCATGCTATTCAAAATGAAAGTGCAAAGCATTGGCATGCCTGTGGCTCTAAGTCTTCAACTATTCCTACGCACTGCAAGATTTATTTTAAAAGCTACGCCAACCAGACGGAATGGCCGATTGTTCACCTCTCATGACTCAACAGATGAACTAAATAAACTTTAATGATGTATTACATCCACCATTAACACGATGCCCATACTTCTGTCAGTGGTCCCTAATGAACGTCATTTTTAATTGCCGATGTACAATCGATGGAATCTCCTGCGCTATGGCCTCAGTATGAGTATCTCTATCCTTTAAGCATCTCCCTTAAGAAACTCCCCTGATTTGACAAGAATGCTAATTCCTACTTAAAAGCGTACCCCTTCGTAAAAGAACTGCCGGACGAATATCATGTTATTCGATAGCGCGGTAGTCGTAGTGTCCCCGTAATAAACGCTCTTAGGGTGGAAGTACCCGTATACTACGCTGTAGCATAGCCGGGATAAATGGGTAACGGATGGTTTCCGAAACCTCGAATATCCCTGATGCGGCATCGCGGCTGGAATAGCACCTTGATTTAACATATATATTTTGATTCCGGATCAAAGTGAAGTTGTTACATTCATACCTCAAATTCCGGGACGATTCTCCCTACTTCTCGTCTTTCAATATACGTCGATCATTCTCTTGTTACGATAATCAGACCCAACTAGGCCGGTGGTTTGTCCTTGCATTTATTCATTTAGTCTAGGAGTCTAGTTCGGAGGGCTTATCTTATCGCCCTTTGGCCGGAGATAACCCCGCTACTTTTTCGGAGGTGAATCCGATTGGATGGCCGAAGAACCGGCAAATGACAATCACGTGTCGGCGGCACGCCAGAGAGTCTAATTCAAAATAGACGTCGAGACATGCAGAACCCACCGCCTAGAAAGGGTTATGTGACAATGTGGGGCACCCACCTAAGCGGGACTCAATATGACTGGCTAATCTTAGGTACCTACCTCATGATGAGACGTACGTACTATCATCCTAGAGCCATTTTGTTCCTTATTCTATTCTTTGTTACTGTTACTATGCATTTGTGGCGGCTCATTGGTTTGTGTTAGCTACTAATAGCATGCTTCCTTGAAGAAAAAAAAAGAAAAACAGAGCCAGATACAATTCTTCCAACTGCAAAAACTGAACTGAACTAAGGAAATCGGATAGAACCCTTTTCGCCAGTTATTTGAGACACAAATATGGTGAGCTGGAAACCCCTCCTAGGAGACGTTTTTCTGCTTCAAGATCTCAACGTAGAACTAAATATAAAGGAAATTTAGAAAATGCTTATTCTTCTATTAAAGGTTATTCAACACCAGTTTTAAGAGGTAATTTTAAAGCTAATTTACAGCGTACTGTAATAAAATCTACTTCACGTGTATGTTCAGTGTTCGAGTCACTGAAGAATCAAAAAAGAGAGTTGGCTGAGTGGTTTAAAGCTGCCCGATTCCCAGAGTATTTTTCAAAATCCGCAGTGTACATCAGAGCCAGCTAGTCCTCACTCATCGGTACCGCCTCAGTTCCCTTACCGACTTGTGCGCAATCATGCGGATTTCCCTCGTCGATTCGGCAGCCCGACCGTAAACCCTAACGTTCCTATCCCCTGAGTGGCTCACACTGAGACCGGGCAAACTCAGAGCTAGGCAAGCATGCAGATACTGCCGAGAACAGAAAACCAAGTGCACCGGACGCCAGCCGTGCCGATGTTGTAAGGAAAAGCCTCTATGGGCTTCGGAGCCGGGACATTCTAGAACGGTATGTCGAGGACTCCATCGGCCACAATCACAAAATGTATGCCTCGAAACGGACTCTATAGGAAAATAGTACACTTCTCTGCCAAAGGTTGGCTTTACGGAGATATAATCTATCAAATATACCCTGGCTATGACATTTCACCAGCACAAAAGTTCAACATGTCTTTCATGACGTAAGAATCGAAAAGGAACCCACCCGTATTCAAGGGTTCGGTGTTCCAGTCCAATCAATTCATCATCCATCCTAGTGGAATGTTTAGGGACCACGGCGCACGACAAGAAGTTTGGAAACGACGATAGCTCATTTGCAATAAAAGATCACAGAAACGAAGATTTTAATAGTAGCCAAGGTCTGCAGGGGATGGGCGTAATTGGCGAACACTCCATTGGAAATATCGATCCTACTTCTCGAGTCCAAACGCCAGGCCTGGCAGACGATGAATGGCTGTATTGCATCTTGTGTTTGCCATTGCTGCGAAAGTCTCCCCACTAGTAAGTAGCTGTTATGGGGAGAGCACTAGACGCCAAGATATCTCCTTTTCACGGGTTTGGCAATTGATGTCGGAGAAGGACCAGAAGTGGGTACTCGGAAGAAGGAATTACTATAGATCCGCATGTATTAGTCATTGTTTTGCCCACCTAACTAACTTAGTTAACTAATTGCCAGCTAGGGGCTTCTTTGCAATTAAGACCTGTGGAACTCCGATTGGTGCACTAGATGAGCTCAGCAACCCATTCCCGATAATTGAGCATGGATCACGTGGCCTTGAGGGACTCTCCGGATCTACAACAGGTGCAAGTAGAAGGTCTTGCGGCATTTTATCTCCTGCGCGTGGGGGAGATCAATAGGTGCAGTAACTTATCATTCTTGTGATTTTCATTGACTAGGAACGTCTTTGTCAGCTAACTCGGAATCAGGGCGTGGCGAACGCTTAGCACGGCTTTTCAATCCGCAGTGGCAATGGGGCTGCATCTCCGCAATTCGGCAAGTGAAGTCCAATTCTCGTCAAAGGAGATTCGCTATCGCGTGTGGTGGGCGCTCTCTGTGATGGACCGCCAAAGACCGACACACATTTCTGCACCACGCCATTACTGATGGCTTATCGTGAAGAGGACCTCGCGAACAATGCTATAAGGCACCTTTACAACCACTTTCACACACATAATCAATTTATGGGAACATTCCTTTTTCGCACGGGCGTGTAGACTATACGACAGGTCTAAGACCATTAGGTCGTGCGCAAATGGCTGGTTCTAAATCGCATTTAGGCGATCTGAGATGAAAGGACTATACAAAGAGTAAGGATAATATCGCTTCTGCGACTCCGGCGACTTCTGTGACTTCTGAGGCTTCTGTAACCCCTCAACTCTCACTGTTCTTTGTTTATGCTGTGGACTTGGCGCACTTGACATAGAAGGCTAGCGAGATTTTGTAGTCTCCGTAGCCGCCTCAGAGATCCTTTTCGGTTCTTGAGACCCAGTCCCAAACTTCAATCATTCAATGAATCAATGGGTTTCACACGTCCCACAAGAATTCAGTTTTACTGCGAGCCACAATGTGCGGTCTTGCTCACCAGGATTGTTTTCAATAAGCTATTTTGCACTACCTGCCTATAATTCAGATAGGCCACCGTCTTTTCGATCGTTTTACAAAATTGCGGCAAAGCTCTGTGTGCGAGTTGCTTACGGAGTGCTGGACCTTCTGCCATACAAGGTCGATCTCGCCTGGCTCTATTGTAACACACAATGCTGGCTGGTGCTGCATCATATCATGATATCTATAGCTTTCCCGATGATCGAACTGTTCTTGCACTCCGAAGGCCAATCTAGCTAGGAGGAGTGTTCTCGTGTAGGTTCAAAAAGCTTTGCACTGGCTCAAATTCATCTCGAACGATGACGCCTCCGCCAAGAAAGCATGGCTGATCTGCAATACTAACTTAGCGGACGACGAGTCACAAAACTCTCTCTTCAATGAAATCCAGAGAGCTCAATGAGTCTCTTCGCTCTTCATCTCTTACTATGATCTATCCGTTTGTTCTCAAGTCTTCCATTTACCACTGTCAAGTTTGACAAACCAGCCGTCGGTCTTTAAAAACAGTAATTGCACTCAAAATAATTCAAATAGCCAATGAAAAGCCCTTCTGGATATGGCTATGCGCTTTCTTCCCTGTTCAAGTATTCAGCCATTCATCCCTGGTACCTCTTCGGGCTCGGCAATGATGATCGCATCATTGTCCGATATTCTCCATTCTTTCGTCCATCACTTCTATCCTCTAAAGCCGAGATGGATTTGAACAACTTCAATGTCCATGAACATTATCATTGAAATCATAAGTTATCTCATTGTCGCGATTGGAATTAGGCATGAGCAAAACTTGAGCTAGCAATTATGATTTGAGATTCCGGAACATGGATTTATACTTGGACTCTGGCTACATACCGAGCTCAGCGTCTTCGCGAGTGATTGAATCCCTTCCTGATCCACTTCGACTTCCGACACCGCAGCAACCTTTATCTTGCTGTAGTTAGTACAAAGCATTACCGGTGTGGAGCTTGAAGCCCTGCAACACTGTAACATCGATTACAGGATATAACTTTCAGCATGAAGAATTTGATTCCCCGAAAGAACCACCAGGCTTCTTGACTTGAGGCTTGTATTCCGGCGAAGAAATTAAAATTCGACATCATCCCCCCTCATCTACAATACCAAATAGGATTTCCATACAAGTGATACAAAGACATGTTTTCCCTTCGTTGCACGGACATCATGTAGCGGCCTAACGGACCGAGACGGGAGGCAAAATGTTTTTCCTTCTGAGTAAGCCATCTTCTGATGAAAAAGAGGCCGTATTGAGGAGACTAAAAAAAACGCAGGAAATCTGGCCAATCGGTGAAATAGCTCTGGAACCACTTGCTTTGATGCGCGCGGACCGCTGTAGTCCTGGAGTGAAAACGGCGCTAGCATAATTCCTGCAAATGAAAACCCTTTTGTGATTCAACTTATGAGCTCATGCGTCTTAAATTCATAGCGATATGCAAATCCACTAAAGGAAGACTTATAGCTAAGCTTAGACTTTGTCCGTAGATAATCAAATGAACGAACACAAAGTGGCCTCAGATTTTAGAAACTATTGGCCCCGTATTGAAATACCAAAGGGGAAGGGCTTTAACATTCTTTTTGCGTCAAGATGAGGTGTATGAATCAAGGATCATAATGAGCACGTCCAGAAAACCACCAAGCTTTACTATGAGTGATACTTTCTACCCCGCATACCACATTACCATGCACGCTATATCCAAATAACATGGACGATTATGATTGAGAAAAAAAGCCCTTCCTCTGTCACCTAAAATAGAACTTGGTAACTGTGATATATACTGTAGGGTATATGAAACAAATTTTGAAAGCAGAGACTGAAGAATACCAGGTCTAGTGAACATCTTGAAAATATATTCGTCGTTGAAGTATCATGGGGAGATATTTCCGGAGAACTCTATGTCAACGACGAAGTCCAAGTACTTGTATATACATATCGAAGTGTAGTCCATCGAGATATGCACCATTAGAGACATTCTGCATTTTAATTCCTATATTTGTACTAGAAGGTTACCTTCGCGTAAACTTGGTTTTTGATGGAATCATCCCGGTCCCAGTTCAATTAGAGATATGAAACATGAATTTATCCGAGAAAAGCCTCTAAATTCCTTACGCTATAGCTTAGCTTACATGTGATTTAATATTTACATAGGAACTAATCATAAACTTTGACAGCGCTTGATCGCAATCCAATAAATCCCGTGATCAAGTGATTTTCCAAGTGTCTCTCCAGATGTATGGGTTCAGATCTACACTTAGAACCTTTGACATGCTCTAAGACAGGCTTTCAGTCGAGGAGCCAGAGCTGTAAAATCGAGGGAACACCGGAGAACTTGGTGAAATTGGTGAGATAGGCGACACAGGTGTAGTAGGTCGCGAATTTATGTGGCTATTTGCTGTTGGAGGGACTAGCTGCACACTCGTCACGCTCGGTGGCGTATTGTTACGCCGAGAGGGCCACACGGAGAGACACGCACGGGGCACAAGCCCCTCTTTCTTCGTGCGTAAAAGTTCGCAAAATGCCTATAGAGGTCGATCAGCTTGATCCTTGCTTAAATACGAGCTCGACGACAAACTCACCCAACCGTCGTCAAAAACACGAGTCATGACAACCTCATCCCCCTGGCTCACCCCTAGCTGGGTGTCTCGGCGGGGGACGAACTCCATCTCGACCCGGTATACATTCAATCTGAGTAGTCCCACACTCGGCGACTGGCCGAGCCCATGACACTCGTCGATCGTTTGCAGGGATTTGGTCTCTGATCCTCTCAACGTATCGGAACTCTCGTTTGCTGCACAGACATCCTCTAAGCAGACTGTATCTGGTGAGACTGGCCCGTGAGGTGCCACTTTCAATCCACTCTCGCTTCTGCGGCGAGTTCGCTCGACTATTATTACTGGCGGTGGAGGTCGAATTTTGCTCACCACTCTGTAGCTTGTATCCTGATGAGTCTGTTCGACGGCGACATCATGTAGCGAGCCCTCGGAACCCTCATCGAGGGATGACCTTGCTAGTATATCCTCGTCCTTCTCAACGAAGGCTTTTTTATCAGCCCTCTCTCGCCCCAGTGGATTAGAAATCCAGCGTCGAAAATTAGAGATTTTCACGACCGTATGCATAATGATTCGAGTCTTTTGTTCAACAGTCCTCTCTATCAATGAGCGCCTTGTCGGTAACGTTGTAGCACCGTCTTTAAGACCTATTTCCGCTGTTGATTTCGACGAGAAAAGAGAATTTACGATTGAACTAATCGCTTTACCTCTCATTGCTAGGAAACTCGTCACGAGGCCTTTAGATTGAAAGAGGACTGCCGCAAAGCGTTCCTTCTGGACGGTCGGGTCAATAGTCGGCTGCTGGTATGTTGCAAGTATAGGTTTTTTCCGCTCAGATTGTCGCTTGAACCAACCCACAATCATGAGCATTATGAGAGAGGCAACAAGAAAGATAATCACCAAATGATAAACGCGAAATTCTTTGGGTGCTGGTTCTTCCCGTTGAGGTAGATTGTTGGCCACTGATGTTGTAGACGTGACTGGAAAGTCGAACGTGGTTGCTGATTGAGTTGTACTTGGTAGATCAATTGACGAACTCTGAAAAATCTCTGTCCCCATGGCCAGTTTCTCTTTTGAGACCCGATTTCTAGTCTCAGGGAGCCAAGTTGTAGTATGCCATACCGGTGACTGTGCCATACTTGTCACTATTGTGTTTGTAGCCGAAGGCGCCACCTGTAATGTAGTAGGGAGTCGATTGGTCTGCGGACCCTGATAAACAGTATCCGATCCATGGGAATATTGTGCTGGATGATAGAGACCATCATCGGCGGTGCTCAACGGTGTTGGATACGCCTCTCGAGTAATAGCGTCAGCGACTCTTGTTTGGGACATAGCACTCATGGTAAGCATCTTAGAAAGCGCAACAACTCGTAGCCGCCACTGATAGGTTAAACCAGAAGGGTCTGTCAGGGTTCCCGATCCTTGCAGTCGATTTCGGTTGCTTTGGTCAACTCTTTATGCCCCGCCATACTATCTGTATGTTGTTGTTTACAAAGTCGGCGCGGTATCTAGAATGAGTAGCACTCCCTTCATTAACGTTACAATAGTATTGTAGTACTTGGAATGTGGGTCTTATCGTTTGTGGCCCTCTGCAAATAACCCAAGACTCTGAAGGAAGGGAATCTCTCAGGTAAATTACGCTTGAACTAAAAAACAATTATACTGTTAAACAAACGGATTTGGAAAGCAAAATTTGTTCAAAGTAGCATCCAAAAAATCTTAAAATATCTCTATAATCTCAAATGTTTATTTAGGTTGGGAACGCTATAGATTAAACTTGGTACAAAGCTATACCTTAGTTTAAGATGCTGTGAGGGAAAGACTTACGCTTCCGTGAGTCATAATATGTAAATTCCATGGATAGAATTTACTGATATTTTAGGTTTGAGTATCATAAAGCGTCAAATTGACATGATTTGGGTATATAACCCCATCACGAGAAGGCATGTTTTCCTCGTAGGTATTAGCCGCATATAGCATAGATCTGGTTACAATCAACATTTTTAGAGCATTTTGTTGAGCCCTTCGGGCCAGAACTGCCTGTAATCAGCGAGTAAATATGTGTATCGCAAGAAGGCGTCTTCTTGACGGTTTGAGACAAGCATAGGGTATAACCCTAGCTGGAACAATAGATTTCTGTCAGTATTTTATGACTAGTTGTATTTGTTCTTACCCTAAATTTAAAATATGATGCCCTCCTTATTTGTACCCCTGACTCCACAATAGCCGGAACATAGTGTGTATTGTCTATAGCATTTTTCCATCTAAGGGTTGAATGCAGCGGCAGCTCTTCCGGCCAATAGGTTTCCTTACCGCCAACCCTTTCCACACTTGCACCTAGAATAGAGTACACACATGTGATGCTTCCCAGGAGATATATACTTCAATGTCCAATGCAGGGGCAATTCACATATATGTCTAATATATCAACATTACCTGTATATAAGGCTAGGACGAACGAATTTCAGTGATGAAATAAAATTTGCGAACTCCTGGTTGGGCTAGATTGTCCGTCTTCCCTCCAACCTTTTTCTTCGAAATGCACAAACTATGGTTTTGTAGTGTAGCCTGATTTTATACACACCACGCTCTGTGGTTCTGTTGCCATGTATTTCTAGTCAAGGAAACAAACATCGTGAATAGTTCAGTTCATGCTGAAAGCGTGCTGTAACAAGGGATTGCATTATAGCAATTACTGACCCTAGAATTCGAACCTGTCTCGATGTTCGAAAGTTCTCATTCTATAACATCTCCTACCCCTCGATCCATATTCTGATATCACGAGATACCCAACATTCTTAATTACAACTAATGTTTACTCGATGCAGTAGCAAGGTGGCGAGAATGTTTATTGATTTGGGCTTTCACTCGCGATAAGTAACTCTTGCATTGGGCGGGGGTGCCCCAAAACCCAAGTCCTATCATTATACGTTCAGAAAGACTGGTCTTGCCTGGGTTTATTAAAAAGACGACGAATAAAAACAATCGCCTTGTTGTAAGACAGGCGCATTATTGGAAACTTCGAATTGTACCCTTCAACCAGCGCCGAATGCTTCTTAGCATCAAATTGTTCAATGATGGATGAAGACACGTTGAGACTACTCAAACTCGCGTTCAATGCGGTGGAATGACAAAGATCGGTATCGGAGATGTCAAGAAATGCACCGAAGCTGACCGCGCGTCGCAAACTCAGTATATGCATCTTTCTGTTTGATTTCCACCCCGCAATAGGTGGGCTTGGGATAGGATCGATCCAAGTCCTTTCACATACGTCGTGCCCGGGAGGGCTCTGTGGACTGAGAGTAGTGGGATAAATGGACAATGATTCAGAGATACACGAGGAGATTGAGGACTCTGTGTCATGATGAATGGTGAATGTTTCTCTCGATCGCTTCGAACTTCGTCAGAATGTCTCCGGCTTGATGATCAAATCAGCGTTATTCAGTCAACGTACCATATTCACTCCGGGTGACAATCTCCTCATCGGATTTCCGTGGAAGAAGCCCATTCTATCTTGGGGTGGGCAAGATTATTTTGGGATAGAAAGGAGAGTTGGGAGGTCTTCCCGCGGTAAAACTGACACTTTATAGGAAGGGAAATAATGTACTTAGTTAATTCACTGTTTAGGCGATCGCATGTAATCCAAAGGTTAGCAAGGGACATCAATATGATACATTAAAATGAACAGAAATATTTGCAACTAATTCCGTTCCCGCGAAAACCCTTGATTGAGATGCTCGGTAAGGAATAGATGAAGGGCGACTTATGTGGACGAATGCATTAAATCCTGCTCATCGGAAAGCATTCCTTGGCTTGTTTTTGTTCCATTCCTATCCTTTCAACGATACTACCGGATTCCGTTAGGAAGTTTCACCTACATCTATTCGTCCACTACCAGGCATCTGGCAGGAAATTTGATGTTATGTGCGCGAGCCATTGGACCCTTGGCTGAACCAATCCAAAGGCAATAAAGTCAAGGTGTAGTCAAATATGCAGACATTGTTGGGGAAATATTAGATTTGGTTTCATAATCAAACCAGTAAGTGCCGAATGAGCTCTTTGAAGCGCTGTTGGTATGAGATTCAAGCAGGTAGTCATCGACAGGCAGCTCAAATTCAACCCTCTTTCATATGGCTTGAAGGCCAATAGGGCAAATCTATCAACTGTTGCGGACATGAGGTTCTACTATGCCATCGCGAAGTGTCAGGGGATGACTCCAAAAATTGGATGGAAACAATGGCCACCAATATGCCGCCCTCAAACTGCTCCATAGGAAATCAAACTAGTGGTCGTTCTTCCCGCTAATAGCGTTGCTTTTTGCCCGCTCTTTCCAGTCTCCAGATACCAACGAGGAGCTGGTGTTGGAATGCAATATCTCTGGCTCCAATGGTCGAGTAGGTCGTTGAGATACAGAATATTGGTTTCACGTAGCCTTCGGTATAGATCCTTTAGACGGCAAGGTCGGATTGTTGTGGTTGTCCTGGAAAGACTTTTGCACACGAATCTTCGATACACCCTGTCGAGACATACAGTTGTAATTTCCCTGGCCTGAAATTAGATCTGTGGCTCGTTTCTGATGTATACATCTGTACTCAGAAGCACAACGGAAGTAGTGCGAGGTTCCCCTTCATCAAATGAAACCCCAAGAGGTACGATCATTCATAGCATGGGCTTCTTTTCATCAGGAAGTAATCAATAATTCAACCAAATCCCCAGCTGGGCATCAGCACCTGATCCCTTGCCACCGCCGAGGCTCACAGTGAGTGTCTTGACCTTGATAATCATATCCTGACCCTCTGTCATGTGCTGAACAAATTCATCATCAACCAGAATATCAAGGTAACTTTTTTTGGTGTTGGTGTGCAAAATGCGAAAAACCTTCGAGGCCTTGACGTCGCATTTCTCACAGATCCTCAAGGCGAGGTCGGGCGCAGTGCGCTGCCGCAAATATATTGTTTGATAGCATCGTTCTAAAGCAGACTCATTGCCGGACTCATAATAGATGTATAAATATGCGACTAGATTGTAGAAAATAGTTAACTTTGTACATAATCAACAGGCGAAGAGGAAGGTCATACCTGGCATAGGCGTCCCCCGTGAACTGTTATGTATTTGGCTGGCAGACAAGCCGTCCTGGGTAGACCCTTGAGTCTCTAACTCCAGAGAACCCACGCCGACGAAATCGTCCATAAGACTTGCACCATTTCGAGAAAGACCATTCTGTTGTGCAAGCAGATGACTGTGTTCCGACTTTAAGCCAGCAATGTGCCTCTCAGGATCATCTCCCGGTCCCGTAAGGCTCAGAATATTCCCAGGGAAGCTCGAAGTCTGTTGATTGTGAAGAGTGGTCAGTCTCTTTCGCAATATACCCGAGTATGAGTCCCAACGTAGACCACTACCGATGTCCATTGACCAGCAGTGGTCGTTGTTATTCAAAGCCGGCTATCTTTCCGTATTTTTAGCATCCTCGCCCCCTCTTTTGCGCTTTATCGGGGCCTCGCGCGAAGTTGCTGACTTACTGATCTGTGCTGTCAACTTCTGACCCCGTTTCTGGAAATTGACAGTATCACTCGCCAGTTTCCGCTCTGCTCCATAGAGCCGGAACACTATGATTTTGCAAAAACATATTTCAGGTTTTTATGTCTTCCAGCCGCGATTTGATCAGTTTTGGTGCAAATTTGCACTGAAATACAATTCGTCCCTTTTGCGATGGTAAAATCAGTAGAAAGAAAGTTGAACCGTATCGGAATACTGCACTCATTTAGGCCGGTGACGGGGTTAATCGTCCAAGTCACAGAAAATCCGTCCACAAATTCTTGTCCGACTAGCCTTCGAGAGCTATTCGGACTAGCGTATTCAATAGCACGCAGTTCACGGTTTTTCTTGCCCATCTCAGCCAGACCACGGCAATCTTTCCAGAGTCGCCATAAAGCATTTGCATTCACTCGTTGTCCCTGCTCCTCAGAAACACGCATGAATGTTCGGTATTTTGTCATCTCGGTGAACGGTGGTGGGATTGTATCAATAACGCGTAAATGATAGGTCTGGCCCTTGTTGAGCTATGAGTTTGGCGCCTCATGCAAGTCAACAACGATAGCTGTCGGGGCTTGAAGGCCGGTAAGAAAGCGAGACCTAAGGAATAGTTATCAATCCAACTTAGTCCGCAAACTAATTAGCATTCAATCACCTTGTCCTTTCCCTATGAGCGGTTAGTGCTTCCTTTAAATGAAAGCTCTGTATCAAAGATAGCTCTGCATTATCGGAATCCCGATGTCCACAGAATTCCTTTGGGGAGGGTAGGAGCGCCGGCTTATCCTCTGCCTTGTAGCTAGAGCTATAGTTAGAGGTGAGGCCATGCATGGTTTTTCGCAAAAAAAATAAGGTGATTTTGCTTTGATGATGGCACTGGCCTTTCAAAGGGGCTTGGACGCAATGTCCAACATGACTGTGGGGATGGGGGCCATTTAGGAGTGGATTGGAGATTCGCCTCTCCAAGTGAAGACTCTGGCGCGACTGACTGTTCAACGAGATTGGTAAGATGTATAAGATCAGGTTGATTGATCAAGAAGTCTTGACTCGGCAATGAAGGAGTTTCCCCCACAGAAACATCCATTGAGCTGGTCTTGTATGCTCAGCAAAGAGAAAAAGTTTCACGACCCGCTCATCTCCTGCAGTGCCGAAGAAAGGTGACTGTGGTCTACTTTTACAGATACCATTTCTATTAAGACGTCTATATACCAGGAAGACAATCCAGGCTCTATCCTTTTGCCGGAATTGGAACGTGAAACTTAGGCTTTTGCACTAGGTGTACTACCTTCAATAGTCTCGGTTGCGGCCAACCGACAGCCAGTAAATAGATCGACTTTGAAACTATGCAAGCGACCGCGGTTTTCCTTATCCACTCACGACATATGCGTTCAAATATACCAAAAATGTTGGCCCTACCGAATTCAATGTAGCTATGGGTACCGGGCTAAAATTCCAGGACGTGGTGTTGTCACCTCTCCGGTCAAATGTAAGCCACTTATTTCGGGTCAGATTCCCATTGGCTGGCGTGAAAATCGTCGAGTGACCGCAAAGGCTAATCACAAATAACGACCAAGCATTTACTCCAGCCTTGCCGAGCTAGCCGTAGACTAATGATTTCATAAGTCGCTAGTTACTGCGTGCATGAACGCTAGTTTGTGCCCATCGCATCAAGTTCCCCAACCTGCGAAATCAGTGGATTGGATACGTAGCATACTTCTAGTGATGAATTGGCCACAGATTTAGTATCTGCATAGGGCTATAGCAGACTCAATTCGTCCCGTTGCCTGCCTGCCTATGAGCTATTCATGAATTCGAAAATTGATTTTGCCTTTCTAGGGCTCGGTTAGTAGCAAGGGCATCTACCAGGAATTGTCCGCAAGACCATAAGAGTAGTGACACGATCTATGAGATGAGGCATGCATATATATATAGCCAAAACTTTTTGAATCGCTGCTTTCACAAAACGGTATAGTCTTCGATTGCTCTTTCAGTCCGCGCAAAATTTCCCTCGGGTAACCAGACGAAGTAAGGAACACGTTTGTGATCTTACAATAACTACACCTCGTAAACTCGAGACATTTGTGAGCTTGATTGCTTCAGCATAACTGTCTTTCCCATCCATCAGGCTGTCGGCTAGTAGTTAATGTATCCTTTCGACCTTCCTACATTCAAAGTCAACGAATATCCAGTCAACAGTTTGATCAAACCTAGCTTAGTAGGAACAAAGACGTGAGGAATTGCAAGGTAGAGTAAAATAAGCACAGCATTCGTGGTTTGAGTGTGTTTATGAGAGGTAAATTCCATACTTTCGTGCCCCCAATGGAAGGTTGAAAGAGCATATATTTAGGATGCGCGGCATGCTACTTGCAGTGAATAACTAGCTCTAGATTATGAACAAGAAGTCGGAAGGGTGCTAGCATACTTTCTCTTCTAAGACACAAGTAACCCTCTACAAAGTTTATGGTACATGGAATGTGGACTGAATCCAAATTCAAGGTGGCTTCAGTAAATTGAAACGAGTATAGAGTGATTTAAGGCAACACTACTTATGCAACAAACATCCTATATTGAACATATGTAAATCGATGATGACGTGACAACCTCACCAAATCCACTGTTGGCCCTGAAACGAGCACTCCAGTATAAAGCGATGATTATGGGCTCTTCAGTGGAGCGTCATCCTTGCCGATTGCAATATTATAGGCCAAATAATGTTGCTCAGCTTGGCCGAGGATTTGATGTGCGAATGTGAAGGATATTTTGAATCATCAGCGAAAGCTTCTAGATTATTAGACATAATCATGTTGATCATGCAGGGTTAGCAGAGGGGTTCAAATGGACGCGTAGATAACAGAAACACACCCCTTGGAAAAAGATACACTAAGGTGAGACTTTGCCTGGACGGTCGGAGCGATGAAGTCTCTTCTTTTGAGTAGCATGAGTTTTATACTTCCCGGCCACCCCCTCGGGAGATAATTGATGGCATTTTTGGACATCGACGTCAGCTCATAAACCCCAAATCTCCCTCGAACTACGTTTATCACTGCTACTGTAGGAGGACCCAGGTTATTCTAGGGTGTTCCCAGAGTTTAAGATATGTCTGAATTGCCGACGAAGAGAATTTTACTACGCGGCTCGTGCGTCTGACTAGGGATACCAGTACTTATGACATACCTAGCTCACATAGCATATTCTAATGTCTGAGACTAGTGGATTTTAAAGCGATCTCAAACTCGTGAATGGAGCTTGAATGGAGCTGGAGTTTGAAGAAGTTCCGATATTGCAAATACTTTGGCGCATTCTAGCCTTACATACCGCTCACAGGGGCATTTAACAGGATTTGGCCTAGTCAAACCAAGGGATATAGCATTGACCAAAACGGGAACATGGCCGTTCGTCGGTAGTTTTATCATAAAAGGCTGCCTTGCCTATCTCTGAGCCAGCGAGGAGAGACTTGTCACTCTTTATTGAAAATTCCGTCAGATATAAGTCTTTCTTTCGAAGCAACGTTTTCACTTTCCACTTTAAAACATGGTTTGGAGAAAGTTGCCTATCTTGGAATGGAGCTCGGAGATGGCTCAATCTGCGACGTCGGCAGCGCTATATTCCACCAGTTGCTTCTTACGCCTGGCCATTGGACAGCTCATTATCGCGATGAAAACGGCGTACGAAAGCATAGGCATATTCCTTCTACCCTACGGTATATTTCAGCTCTTCGCAATCAGCGTCCTCCTTCCTGCATATTTTGCACGAGTCTTGACTGGCTTGATTCCAACCATCCTCGGAACGATCTGGTGTCTTATTTTCCCGTGGGATAAGCTCATTGAACAGACCGAGTCCAGTCGGAGGCAGTCAGCAATGTTTGCTCAACTTCAGCTTGAGGGAAAATATATTTTCAGAGTTGGTGATGTAGCTAGGGTCAACCGATCTGGAACGGAGTGGATGAGCGACATTTTGTGGGAGGAACACACTGAGGAGTTCGAGGTCTGTGGCGCAAGAGCAAGATATATTCATCTAAGGCCAGAGAGAAGCGAAGAAAGTGGCACTTCAACTTCGTCAAAAAGGCCCATTGTGTTTTTACACGGAAGTCGGAGCTGGAGTTTTATGTGGAGAAAGGTGTGTTAACTATTTAAACTTCTCCGGGCTACCCAGGTTCTAAGATTAAAATGTGACTACGGAGCCGCAGCAACTCTACTAACAGGTGCTCTACGTAGGTTATGCCTAGACTTCGCAAGGAGGGCCATGAAATTTACGCACTCGATTGGATCGGCCATGGACGGAGCGACAAGCCCATACATAGGGAATCTGTTACGTTTGAGCTTCACATGCAAACAGTAATGGCATTTGTTAATCATGTACAGCTCCAAGGCGCTGTGCTGGTAGGACACAGTTGGGGCGGGTAAGTTGAATTTTCTCTCTTTTCACACGCATGTCAACTGAATAAAATTCGTCCCTCTGCGTCTGTTTTGAACAGTGTTAACAATTTTCCAGCTATGTTGCTCTATGTTGCATTCCCCACCTGCCTTCGTCATCATGCAGTGGGCTTTTCCTCATGAACTCATTCATGCCATGCCAGCCCAAAGGAATGGGCATAGATGGCCGTATTATTTACGGGTTCCGCTTTCTCCTCAGTCGAGTTCTAGATGGCTATATTTCCCAATCGACTCTTACGCGGCTCTTACTTTACGATGTTCCAAGGCGAGATGCTAAAGGCTATGGTGCACCTTACCGGGACATACCGGCGAATGCTCGACCAAGTTTTGAGCCTTTCGATCATATAAGTATCGGGGTATCGCCACACATCCTGAGATATATGCGTGAGAAGCCATTGTGGAAGGCTTGTGAAGCCATTTGCCCAAAAGGGTTCGCTGGTCTGAACAGCCTAGCCCTTCTATCAGAGAGAGTTGACAGTGCAAGTCGTTACGTGCTGGAAAATCGAAGTGGCGACAAGAAGGAGGGTACCGAAGGCCGGATTAGAAGTGCCATTGTGTTTGGAGAACACGATCCGTTGGGAAGGGGTTACAAGAAAGCCCTTGCGTGTGAGATTGGAAAAGGGAATATGGTGAACTGTGCACTAAACGGTATCATGATCGAAAATGCTGGTCACTACCCCATGGAGGACAAGCCGGAGGATGTGGCACAATTGATAGCTAGATTTGTCTGACCGTTCAATTGGGATGGCTTGAGACAACCGACTAGAAACCGTGTTTTTCAGGCCAGGTGCATGTTTTCAAGTACTGTATATTTCTTTTGAAAAGGACTCTAACTGAGCAGATTCCATTAGGCCATTTTCCACTGCATTCGCGACTAGAGAGTTGGAGTGCGATATAGCGGAGATGTTTAAAAATCCCAGCCAACCGAAGGCTGTCTAGAATTAGTTTGTTAGGAGTTCGCACTGTGACTCCACTTGGCTAGATCCAACTCGTCCGGTTGGCAGCTAAGCACGGGGAATGGGAAGTACATCATTATAGGCGGATCAACTGCTGACGCTTCATCTTCCAGGAACGACGGTATTGGTAAGAACATGTCGTGGTTACGACGAGCCGAGTGAATCCTCTCGCTTTTGCATTTCTCTCTGAATGATAGGGAACATTGGCATGTATAGCATGCATGAAAACCGACTGCTCTCTTTAGTTATCACTGGACTTGTCGCAAACTTGAAAAATGCTACAGAGCTGGGAATTTCACTTCGTCATATACAACGTGATTTTGGTACGGCAGTAATGGCAATATATAGATTTGTCGTGGTAACAACATTCTCAACTTTCGAGTTCATGAAGCGTGCTTTACACGCTTCTCAACTGTCCACTTTTGACACATAAGGCTTAGAGCGTCTCAGAGAGAATGACTAGAAAAGTATCAAAGCCTCAGCAGCATTGAAGACTGATGAAACTCAACACTGGTTTGTCACGGCTTTGTTCCTAAACAGCACCACCCTCGCACAGTAATCTTAATGATATACAGTCAACTCTCATGGGCTGCGCGCCCCTGAGTTGCACACATTTGTCAACTACACACCTTTTTCCTACCTGGACTAGTTTTGCCCCAATTTTACATATAAAACTCTCGTGGGCTGCACCATTCATGGTCTGCACACTTTTCATTTCCCCCATCTTCGCTTACTCATCATATCTGGCCAATCACAATTCATAATTCTACCTCGCCGTCGTTATCGCTCCCCTACCCTTTCGGTGCGATCTTCGGTCACCCTTTCAGCGAAATTAGCCTACCCAAAACAATCGAATGCGACTATATATAATGCTCAGAAAAAAGCCCTGCGTATCTTTGCATCTGAGAGACGTCCTAAGTCTACCCAGAAAGCTTATGCTGCATGGTTTCATGAGAAATTTAGCCGAATAATCGATCGTACGACAGTTTCCCGAACCCTTTCATCTCAGTATAGCTACCTAGATAACAGCGAAGCTAGAATTAAATCGAGGAATTCTACTGCACACTAGCCGCTATTAGATGAGGCTTTATTCCAGTGACAACGACGACACGCCGAGAAGGGGTTTCCTATAACTAGGCCCTTGATTCCTCTTAAGGCTGCAGAATAGTAGAAGAAGATGCCGACATACAAAGATCAGACTATACCTATGTTCAGCAATAGCTGGTTCACCGGCTTCAAAAGTCGGCATTCTATTAGATAGCATACCTATTCTAGTGAGGCTGCTCGGTGGCGGACTCGATACATCACAGGATAAAAGCGATCCAGGTTATCTGCGATGAATATGCGCCTACGTATATCTATAATATATATAATACTAGCCTCTACCAGCGTCGTATGCCTAATGGTGGGCTTACATCTAAAGGTCGTCCTAGCCAGAAAAGAGACGAGACGAGGACAACTATCGTCGTCGCATCAATTGCGACCGGTTCGGATCGATTGCCTCTCTAGATCATTAGAACTGCAAAGACTCCTCACGCATTAAGGGGTATAAATCTAGCTTCTATCAGATGTAAGCGGCGCTATAATAAGAAGGCTTAGATGCGACACGTGTACTTCTAATGATAGATCCTTTCAGTGCACATCGTATAGCCCTTCAAAAGGCGCCACCACCGTCTAATATTCAACTAGTCTTCTTTCCAGCGAACGCCACATCTATCTACCAACCCCTAGATCTTATCCAAAACCTCAAGCATTATTATCGCAAGAGCTAGATGTATAGGATGATAAGTGTGCTAGATCGTAGCATCGATCCACGTGAACGTATGAGTCTGAACCACACGCTACGGTGGTTAACGAAAGCGTGACGAACAAAGGTCAGCAACGAGACTATTGAGAACTGTTACATCAAGAGTACTGTTCTTCCTGGGTGCCGACTATCTGGTCAAAATCAGGCTGATCAAGCCCAGACAGGAAGTAACCTACTGGATCCTGAATTAAAGCCTCGTTATAATCAGGTTGTTGAAAAGCTGGCATTTCAACCAGATGCGGATGAAATAATACCATTCGATGAGTTTCGTACCCCATCAGATGAAAATGTTGATACCGCGGAGCCAGAGTTAGACGACATTATCATCAACTTGGGTGGTGAAGATATCGGCGATGATCTACATAATCCTGACGAGGAATATATATTTAGGCCAAGACCAGAGATTCCGTCCGACACGTTGATCCTACGACACCTATCAGGTGCGTGCAAGATAAAATCCATGCCCCGGAGAGTGTGCAGCCCACGAAAGTGGACTGTATAACCCGCCCAGAGGAACAGCGAAAATATTCACCCTTCAGAGTTCTGGCACAGCGCCAGGCTACGCGATAAGTGATAATTTCACCAGTAGACGGTCTTAGCTACATTAAATGTTTACAGCTGCAATATTGGTGTGAGGGACTGAGGCAAGGTCTAAACTCACTTTGCCTAGGCCACAAGCTGTGCACAAAAAGCTTGAAGCTGGAAAAGCCTTCCCCGTGTTCCTGATGTCAACACGTCAAGGTCCCGTAATACACGTGACCAAAATCGGGCACTGGCTCCCAGTGGCTCGTGACATAAAGACAAACAGAATAATACGGCCCTCTGTATCTTGTCAAATATCAAAACCGGTTGAATTGGTATAGGCTAGTATGCATATGGACGAATGAGAACTATCGGAATCATACAGACAAGGTTGATTGATTGAAGAAAGGAAAGGACTCGAACGAATGGAAAAGGGGCAGGTTGAGCTGTCCCATGGCGGTGTAACCGGGTATTCGAGTGACCATACCGATGTCGAAAGGTTACCCGCATATTACATACAAACACATACAAAATCTGGGAAGGAAATGGACCAATCCGAGGTCACTGTAATGAAACTCTCCACTTTTCCACGACATCAAACGACAAATTTCCACTGATGTGTATGTAATTGGTCTTGATGACTCGACCCTATTGACCTCGACTACTCGGTCGTTTGGTCATGCGTCCTCCCGTTTACACCTGCATAGATTGCTCTGCAGGTTTGATGGTTCTTTCCAGGACCAGCGCTTCTTTGTCTTGTAGACCTATTTAGGTCTTTCTCTTTTCCCTTTCCTTCTTCTTCTCTAGATCCATCTTCATCATCATGTCTAGATAGAGAAAATCGATTCAGATCTCCCTTTCCTGCTTCCTTGCGCTGGTGTCGATGAAACCATCAGGTCTTAAAGATATTGAGTTGGCCAGCATTATCTGAGATTCAATATGACCATGGGCATTATCAAAAGTGCCAATATGGATGATGATGAGCGACCCATCCGGCTGAATGCTTTGAATACGTAGTAAGCCGTGTGTAGACTGCAATGGGAACTAAGGGTCTTGACTTCAGCCTCGGTAAAGACATTTTTCACCTCTCCCCGCTGAGTGTTTCGCCGGTGATCCCATCTTGTCTATCCACTAGGACTAGAGCTATCTTCGGCCCCGACTATCCCGTCCCCAAAAGATACGTCCGGGTGATTGACTACCGCTGTACCACGCTACCAGCTCCAAACTCACCAACCTTTTGCTAGTCGTAATGGGTATCCACATCCATTCACTGACTCTTGGAGTCCACCTGCAGTTAGACATGCGATACACAGCTTGGCCTCTATTCTGAGTCAGTGGCAACATTATTTCAGATTTACTTTCCTAACACGATTCCCGGCCGATAGCTATTTCGTGAAACATCTCGTTAGCGATCTCAAGTTTATCGGTGTTAGCTTGATCTCAAATTCTAATGTTGTGAAAAAACATATCTACGGAAATTCATCCAATACTCCTTTTAAGAAATCATGAAAATAGGTAATGCTATTAGCCAACGACCAAATATCCGTGCCTCGACATCATGTTGTTGGGAAACCATGTTTCTTTCTCCTTAGTTTTGAGGTAATCTTCTGGGACTAGGAACCCCGTTTAACAAGTCTTCCAACCGTATGTGGTAGCTGGTTGAACCGTCCTTCCTTCGGTCCAGGACGGAGATCTGCCGACTTCCACTCGCCAGCGTGCAACAGGAAATCTTCTGTGTTCCGTGTCAATGTGCAACCGTCCAAGAAAATAGGCCAAGCGATATTGATCGTGTTATTATGAATTTATTAGTAGAGCATCTTTCAAACAACCCAAAGTGGCGGGGTCTCCTTCTACCAACTCACCTTGCCAATGCGCCGGTAACGATTTCTCGTTCCTTGTTTTGATGTGTTCGTATACAAGCGACTGTCCTCCAGGCTTCAAGTACGCGTATAGCCTCTTGACTAAAGCTTGCGGTGCCTCGACGCTGCACAGCACGTGAACCGTGGTGATTGTGTCAATTGTTCCTGTCTGAACACCTATTCTTTCTAGGTCCTTAATTCCACCGTCAATAATCTCGTATCTTCCAGCCAGCCCCAACTTCTCCGCTCTCATCCGAAGGACTCCGTGGAAATTACGGTTTGGTTCCAGGAGTATGAGCGTCAATATATGTTCGTTTCTTGGTGGCGCTAATAGATATAACCAGTCGCCCGAACCGGTTCCGATGTCAAGAACGATTCCACGGGCTTCATCAAGCGTTGCCTCAACATCTTTGGCAAAGAGCGGCTTCGATGCTGAACCGAAGAACACCCAACAGCGCTCGAACCAGGCTTGCCGGAATGCGTGTCGTGAAATCAATTGCGACAGCTCGAGGTTCCTCAACAAGACAACGAAAGTAATAAATAGGTATACGATTGTTATAATAAGAACGATGACAGGAACTGCAAGGTCCAGCGGGCCAAGATCTAACATGATGGAATCGACTATATCGGAAACGGCTAAATAAAACCAGCCTCTGAGTTGTAACTAGAGAAGTTGAGACTTGGACAGAGGAATAGCGTGTCTTATATAGACCTTATTTAAGTTTTCTCGCTATTTATCTCATACGGAATGCATGGGTACCGTCACACTCAACCCTGGCCAGCACAGAGCGATTTGGTTGTAGGGAAATCCTTCTTACCACTCGTCCTGCCGGAAAGGCATGGCGAGCCGTGGTACGGTACTGAAAGAAAGAAAATTGACCATTAATCCGTAGTCTAAAATCTTCAAAAGCCCAGCTGATATCTATTCTTTTCCAGCCAGTATGAGGGCTTTGTGTATGATTGACCTTTAATAAATATCGGTTAAATGTGTAATCAGGTATGCAGCAAAAACTTTGATTTTACTACATTATAACTCCTATCCTAGCTGTGCTTGTCATCATGGCGTGATTGGCAGGCACAGGTTTATTAACTTCGTCGGAAAGCAACATACCCATCACTCTGCGATTTATTTTATAATTATCGAATCAGCACCGGTATATACCTATGGACCCGCAGCCTGCGAGTTGACAATGATGACCAAAGAAAAATCTTCTCGATCGGCGTGCACCAAGTTGTGCGCATGGATATTGAATCATCATATGCGTTGCGACTTCAATAACCGCACCTGAAACAAAACCGTGATCGTAGGGACTGTTCTTTCTTGTGTAACTGCTAGTAACTTGGTAGCTATTGCAGACTTTCTGCTGCGCAACTCTCTGGTGATACTCTCTAAGAGCTTTTTCATTTGGGCTTGGGCAGAAGAAATCTAGACACTTTCCATGCCTGTTCAGTAGTATGTAATCTTCTGTAGTCGAAGATCTGCGAGGTAAATTCACTGAGAACAAATCATCCGGATGACTAGTGACCAGTGATTTGGAAATACAGATCGCGCAAGAGTCTTGCACATGAGGAGAGGACGAGCGTGTCGCAAGCAGAGTGTTGGATCGATTGTCACAGAGATCACCCAAGCGCTAAAGATACGTCAGCATCAATCAAGTCATAGCTCTGAGACACCGATAAGTTTTGTGAATTCTCAGCCAGCAGCTGAGGTGGAATTCCCTGGGGAAGAAACAGGTTGCCTTTTTCCAGCCTCGCCTTGTGGTCTCTGGCATCTAGGCGAGTCGACTTGAACACAGAAGGCAGCTCCGCAATCGAAAGGTCTAAAGTTTCGAAATCTCCATGAAATGAACCAGCTTTCAGGAGAGATATCAGATTGTTCCTGCCCTTATATGTAGTTAACATAGAGAGGTACTCGACGTCGTGACATCCGCCAAAGTATATATGGTGGCACTGATCGATTCCGGTGAATAATCGAAACATCTCTACTCATAATTTCATATTTAGCGAATACTCTTTTCCCTAAGACTTATACTCTGAGCTGGCCTTCGCTACCCCTTATTTTGAATTCGCTGCTTTCCTTCTTTGTACCTGCATCCACGAAGTCGAAAAGATCCTACGCTCGTGTGAAGGCTGTGGTGAATTCTAGAAGTGCCTGGTCTTCATCGCGGCAGCTCGGGCCAAAGCTCTAGAAAGTACAAGGACATTTGCCTGCGTCCGAACCGTAATTTAGCACTCTTGGATCCGCTTTTGCTTATTAGAGAGCATCAGATCATGAATTCTATCGCGTAGCTCACGTGCCGCATCAACTCCTCCTTCGCTTCCGCGTTGTAAACAGCGATCTTGAAACTTTGGCGCAATTAGTTGAATATTGTTACCCCCGAGGACGCAGTGAAAGCCCAAAAGGTATCCATCTGCATCCAGGAGCACTAAAACGAATGGATGTCTGTTCTGTAAATCCGTCAGTCCCGCATTTGAGTCGGTCCTAGTGAACTTGTTTGTGTCTCACATTATGTTTCTTGGATTGCCGTGTCTTTTCTGCTTCTTCGAACTTGTCTTTCGTATCAGATAGTAGATTCCTGAATCTCTCTACGAAATCCTGTACCTGGTCATTGTAATGACTACTTTCCGCTGAAAGCGAAGTAATGCGAGCTTCCAGCGAGCGTAACTCGGCATCGTCCAACAAATTGATCAGAAATTAAGAGGAGGTCACAGTTCGCCTATTATATAATAAAGAGATTCACCAGTGCATAGCTTCATCGGAACGAAGACAACAGACGAAAGCCCAAGGGAAATGACGGTCTAAGTCTAGGACAACAGAAAAGTACGTGAGACTCTCCCGTTAGAGCACCACCTGGAACCTCAAGTCTTTGCAAGTTCTGTATTGAACATGGCCCTCAGAATTCTGAGGTAAGGTTAATAGAGATTTTTAGGCATGGCGGCTAGAGAGACTGCCTGTCACTATCCTCCCACAAAACATTTGCCAAGGTCGTACTGCCGATTATACGGATCTAGTTAGAGGAACTTCTTTTTCACCCCACTTGCTCTAGTGTGGATATCTGGTGAGCTCGTTGAACATCCAATCACGCATTCACATCTCTTTCCATGCATCTGCTACAATTACAGAGACGAAGTCACTTAGTATCTAAAATTGCTTAAAAATTTCACTCCATTCTAGTCAGTAGTTCCAAAAACCAATATTAAGCCATTGGATGAGTGTACTTGTGTACCTCTCGGTTATTGAAATCAATGTACCAGGCCGGGGTCTAGTCACGGATCATTTGTATCTGTAACATGATACCTGCCCACTTACGTTTCTGCTAGTAGGCGAATGCACTTTAACCGTTACTACCTTCCGCTGTGCGAAAATGCCGATCTTTTCGGTGGCGAAGCCTATTGGTCGGAATGTAAGTTACCGAATTGAAGTTATGTTACATTAGCAGGCTACTCTGTCTACTACTAATCTTAGCACAACATGCGCCATTAAACCGACGCTAAATATTCTTGCCACTGGTTGATAGAATCTTAGCGACGATCTTACCTTTTTTTGTGAAATTCTCTTTTGTCTTCGACTTGATCTACTCAATGCGTCTGCCTCCACCCCACGGTGTTGCCTAAGCCTAGAACGAACCCAAGCCTGAAGAATTCCTCACTCCTGGAAGCTTTGTTCATTACTGCATATAATTGATGTGTGACTCAGTCGCAGGGAGACCGTAATTCCGTTCATCTTGAGCCGCCACATTAGGGACCTCTGTTGGTCTGTGAGGCATCTTAGTAAATCCTCATATGAATCTCATGACTGCGATAAGAAGTAAGAGCCCTTGTACTCTAGACGCCTAGAATTCATATTACGCGCTGATCTTCTTGTTGAGAAAGCTTACTTTTCCCTGATATTCTTCTTAGCCGCCGCAGTCTGGCTAAAATCTAGACTTTCTTTGCCCCCCTGTGACTGATTACGGAGAATCTGGTATATGTCGTGTAATATCTACTAATACAATGACATGCACCAAAGACGGCGGACCACTCTCTCTCCATACAAGCAACGCATGGCGTCTTAGAGCCTTGAAACAGAGCTCATTAATGGTCAGGATTGAGATTTGTAACGCTGTAGCAGCGTTGAACTTGGAATTACAGGTCTGGTATGTGGCGGAACCGGTCGAGATGACTTCATAACCACGTCCATGTAAGTCACTCCTCTGTCTTCAACACGGTAGGTTCTTGTGGCCGATCTTGATGAGGCCCTAATTGAATACCAAGAAAATCTGCCCATTAGTTCATGATGTGGAGGATCTTGGAATCTCTCGTAGCGATTGTCTGTGTTCCGAACTTCTCCGGACAGCACCTTTCCATGTCTCAACGGTTACGCATTTTGGTCTTGGCCATACTGATTGAAGCCAGAAGTATATCAAGGTTGATTGTTAATATGTAGCTGGCCTAGACTCAGACTGGACTAGCCGTTTGCAACAAAATATCGAAAATATGGAAAGATCTGCGCATTTTTCTTGCGTCTCGCCTATGATTCGTTCAATAGTCCATGACACAGTGGATACGCTTCGATCTTGATATCAGTTGCAGCGGCTGAATATTCGGCACTTCATTTCTATATGCTATCACGCCTCTATATGATCTCCTTCTCTTTGATACGATCTATTCGCATCCACAGTGAACTATCTCCCTGCTCCATACAATTACTGGTAGCGTGTGTATATATGCATGGCGGTCAGAGGCGTGGGTATTCCGATTATTACGGCTTCCATCTTGAGTACTGAGCAATAGCCACACGATACAACACCTCTGAATAGAGTTGTATTATGTATTCTGCTGTCAGTAATCGCTAGGAGAATCAAGAGTTATGGCATTTCCGTCGTCGTATTCCCGCATTTCATTGCTAAGTGTGGAATTCGTGTTTAGCAGGGAGTATTTAATGATGCAGGGCTAATTTTCCTTGCAGCAAGGTACATGGGAGGTCCGTCTTTTTATTGTGACCTGGTTCGACTTGTAGATCTTCACGGAATCTGCACCTGGAGGGTCGGCGGACAAAAAGTAGCGGACTTCTTCTAAAGGTTCCTTGAAGATCACATATTTGTGCACGAAAGGCTCACTTGGCCTCCTTGGCTTTGCCGTACCGGAATCGAAGGGAAGTTCATCGAGGCGGCCGATAGAAAACATTTTGCGTAATAAGCGTTATTCTTCCTCTGTATTTGCTCTCTCCCTGTCAATAAATTGCGAAATTGAATAGAAAACTTATTCACTTAAGGATGATTGATACGCACCTGGATGCTCAGATGAGATACGCCAACGATTAACAATAGGAAAGCCCCAGTTAAGTACCCTAGGAGTTAACCCTATTCTTATACTAATCAACCTTGAAAATCCTGCCGAAGACTAGTCCAAAAACACCATTTGATGACGTATGTCCGCAACCTGCATCATGGAAAAAGCCAGACTTCATCTGGCAAATACGTGCCTCATTGATCAGGCAAGCAAAATGGCTCAAATATAGCAAGTTTCGCGGAACAAAGCAGCTTTGATAGTGATGTATCTGAGTTCGAACGAGCCATATCTCCTGTACTGCCACAAAGCCTGGGCTAGCTGACATGGTTCTCTCTACCA